TACCGCCCCTTGACCCTGTGTTTTTCTCTGTGGACACACACACACTCACACACACACACACACACACACACACACACTTATCTGCAGCCCATGACCCCCACAACGGAGAGGCAATGAGGTCTATACTGAGCTGCTGCTGGATTTGACTGGCAGTTCATATGTCCACAGAGAAACACAGTCGACGTGTATGCGTCTGTTTGCGTGTGTGTGCGTTTGTGTGTGTGTGTGTGTGTGTGTGTGTGTGTGTGTGTGTGTGTATTATACAGGCCCAGTCTGGCAGCACAAAGCAGGATCTCCTGGGATGGCCGGATGTTGGGTCAGGAAGAGAGGAAAACAAGAGTGGAGGAAGAGTAGAGAAGGGTTGAGAGAGAGAGAGAGAGAGAGAGATATACATGCATCTGTTTTTGTGTGTGTGTGCGTGTGTGTGCATGTGCGTGTGTGTACGTGAGGTGTAAAAAATGGATGCATCCTCCCACTCCTGCTGTATCAGGTATTTGTTTGGCATATGGGAATCTCTCTCTCTCTCTCTCTCTCCATACATATAGCATGTATGTGAAGGCAATCCATGGTAGATTTTGTTTTACATTTTCATCTTCATAGCGTGTGTATGTATATATAATATATATATATATATATGATATTATACATCAACATTGAATGGCGGCGGGAGGGCGGGATCCACCACATTTTTTCGCCTTGGTTTGAATGCACTAGATCTGTCACTACACGGGGGGGTAGAGAGAATGTCATGGAGGAGGTATGTCTTTCTTCATCGTATCCATCCACATACTATTTTAATTGGGTTTTCTTTCCTCTGCAGAAAAAAAACAGAGGTGAGAGGTGGAGTGTATCACGAAGGGGAGGAGGGAAGGAGGGGAGGAGGAGGGGAGGAGGAGGGAGGAGGAAACGCGCTGCTGTGGGTTTCCATCCTCACCTCCCCAGCTATGCCGTCTCACCATTGTGGCCCCCACAATGACTGCACACCGGCACGCACATTCACGCACGTGTGCACTCCAGCCGGCCCGCGGTGGTGCTGTGAGGTGTTTGTGTTGGACCTCGTTGAACAATGCAGCTGACATTCATTCTGCGTTGAGTAAAGCCGCCTCATTGAAACAAGACGATGCTGCTGAACTCAAACCGTCTCCCAGTGACCGTCACACACTCTCTTAGCAATGGCCCAACTGATTGAGCTTAGCAAACAGGACAGAGAATGCCTGCTGATGGAGAGAATGTGTATGATATACGTGTGTGTGTGTGTGTGTATGAATATGGGTGCGAGCGTGTATGCGCATGAGATTGTGCGTGCGTTGTATGTTGATGGTTGATGTACAGGCCTGGAGGGCAAACGCTCTAGGCTTCTCTCGTTAAGAAACTGTCAGTCATCGGCAGAGAGGAACCAAGAGCAGTCCAAACAGCAACACCGAGTGTGTGTGTGCATGTGTGTGGACACGTGTTTGTGTGTGCATAAAATGCATTCACTTTGGCTATTCCAAAACACAAGTGAGGGGAGTAATGTGTTTGAAAAGGGCGACGGTTGGGATGCAACATGAAACCACACTGCCCTCCGGTGGTTTTCTGTTGCTTCACCGTCACACGCGTGTTCTCACACTCCGGCAGCAAAGGTTGACTTTGTTGACTAAGTGACAACTCACAAGGACTGCAAAGTTCACTGTGGAGATTTGACAATTGAAACTAATTTGAAATATTAACCCCCCCCCATCATAAGTGAACGATGCCCCTTCATGTAAACGGTGCATCCAGTAGGGAGCATGCACAGAAACAGCTCGACACGGTTTCAGTGTACATTGAAGGGTGCAGACAGGAAGGAAAAAGAGGAAGTGAATAAGACTTTGCTGAGAAAGGTTATCACAAGCCTTCTGATGCATACGTAATATATAGTTTGTGTCTCGATTTAGTTGTGCTAAGAATCTTGTTTAGCAGAGATCAAAATGGTTTGATTATTAATTGTCATTGACTTTATGTTATGTGAGAAAAGTCACTTTTCAGTCTTAATATATTAATACGTTTTTGCTTTTATGTTCATTTTAAGATCGTACACTGGGTCGTCGTGGCGCAGGGGTTAGAGAAGGTGTGCTGGGAAGCACAAGGTTGGTGGTTCAAACCCAGGCTGCCCCAGGTTCCATGTCGAAGTGTCCCTAAGCAAGACACCTAACCCCTGATTGCTCCCCGGGCCAAAATGTGATAAAGCCATGGGTTTAAAGTGTAATGTAAGTCGCTTTGGATAAAAGCGTCTGCTAAATGACCTGTAATGTAACTTCATTTCTGAAGCACTCTCCTCCCTCTCCTCTCCACTCGTATGGCAAAAAATAAGTTTCCTTAAAATGCATTTCTTTTAAAAAGAGTTTGATCCCCAAATGTTGTATACAGGTGAAACACAGCAGGATTTCCCTTGAATAAACTACTAATGTTTTACATTCACTTGTCACCATCATACCCACCATCTTCACACGATGCCCTTAAAAGCGCCTTCAAACGATATTTCGGTTAAGAGAACAACAGCGGATGTTGAAACGGGTGAAAGCTGAATAATGCCGAAAACCCGTAACCCAAATACAAGTGTAGGTGCAAAGAGTGGGGGGTAAATTGCGTGCATCTGGGTAAAGCACGCGAACAGGCCTACACACATGTGTCGCTCTGCGATCCGTTTTTCTCACACCTCTGTGTGGTCACAGCTGTGACTGCACAGAGGAACTAACAGCAAAGCTGAATATGCAGCCTGCGACCTCCCTCTTTTTGTGAAGAGCTATGTTAGTTCTGAGGGGAGAGGAGGTGATACAATAAAAAGGGGCAGGAGAGGAAGCTGAATAAAACTTTAAAGCAAAAAAAAATGTACAAAATGAAGAGAGCGAAAAAGAAATGAGGAAGCTGTGACAGTTTCTCATTACAAACCACTCCCCTTCCTCAAACACTACATAAACAGGCAGAGCTTAAAATATAGGCCCCAGTCTTTCACTGTTATCGCTGGAAATCAATAAAAACTCCCTCAGTTGTTTTACATGTGACATTTACATTAGTGAGCCCGTTTCCATCGTGCTTTGAGACTTTTCAATTCATTACACACGTTTAATAGCATCTGAAATCCACCTGATCCAAGTTAAAATGAGTAATCCCCAGTGAAATTATCCCAATCAATGAAAGATGTGGAAGGAAAGTCACTATAGTTTTTCACTGATGGGATCACAAAAAGGAACGGCTAAAAAAGAAAATGGATCAAATAGAAAATTACAACAGCCTTAGGTTTATAGCTTGATTCTTCTTTAAGCTGTGAATTTCTCTTTGTATCATGATGTGCATTCAAATCATTGATGGGTTTTCATGGGTTTTCATCCATTGCCCCATTAAACCGAAATGTTTTGTAGCATATTATAGTTTTATAATTGTTACAGAAATAATGAAACAGAAATAATGTACAATGTAGATGTGACACCCATGAGTATATCATGAATATCAAGGGAAAAGACGCTTCTACGAGTGAGCAAACTCGTCCCTGATTGGTCGGCAGCAGGTTCTGGAAGGCAACCTGAGTTCTCATTTCCTTTAAGGAGAATTTGCGCTGTGCTCCTCTGTTGCTTAAATGTCTTTGTGGTTCTTGAGGTTGGGACACTTCTTCTCAAGAATATCAACATGTATTGCATTTGTTTTTGCAGCGAGGAAGCATATCGCTAATGCTGATCTAAAACTATTACAATAATAGCAGATTAGGCAACTTGACATTATTCAAAAGCCGGTTACATGTTTGCGTGACTTGTCTGTGCCTAAGGACCCACGTCAGGCCTGAAACAGAGTGAAATCTGCTTCACTTTGATTGCATTAACTCAATGCTGCTTGCAGCCACTGCTGTACTCTTCGACATGGAAATAACCAAATACCTTGTATTTCACTGGTGTAAGAGGAAATCCATAATTAGATCATACTGAAAAAACATATCTGGTTTCAAGTTCAAACTTATTTCCGCATAAAATATGCCATGTAGTAATAATAAAGCAACTGTTTTAAAAAAAACTCAAATCTGAGAATAAACACAAATATATTTTGTGATCTTTGTGTTCTTGTCTCTACTTGACGAGGGAGATTCAAATAGTCTTCACTGTATAACTACAGGTTCAAGTAACTGTCTAAAGTCAAACATGGCTCTGCTTAGTTGCATGTTTCATTTTCATGTACTGCATGAAATAGCTGTCGGTGTTTCATCCAGATTCGTACCAGCTCACCAGCCAGTGTGTGAGCCTCGCTCCCCGGAGAGTTTCTCCCCTCCTCTCCTTCCTCCTTCATCCCCTATTTTCTTGTGCGTGTAAACACAAGTAAGCATTTTGGGGCAGAGCATGACGATCAAACGCCGTGTTCCATCAATGGCTTTGAAGAGATCTAACATCCCTTATTAAGCACACAGAAGGAACAGCAGACATATTCTGGAGCCAATGGCCACTAGTCTTTGCTGTGCTTGGACACAGAGCAACAAAAAAAAACAGACAGCCAAGTTGAAGACAGACGCCATCTTTGTTCTTGCACATTGCACTGCTAGTTCCTCGTGAGCATTTGGTTACGAGTGTGGGCCTCCGAGCTTAGAACAGGGAGGAGTCAAGACAGAGAAGGAGCCCTGAGAAGTTTCACTAAAGTACGGCTGGTGTCAAATATTCTCATCGAGTCGCATTTCAAACAGTCTAACAGAACAGTAACCTGAATGTGTTTTAATTTCAACATTTACTTTCATTTCTCTGTCTGTTGATATAAAATAAAAGTGTGAATTTAATAACATTGTGATTTAAGCATGAATCAAAAAGCCTATTACGTTAAAGCTCAACATTTGAGTAAAAAGGCTTCGCCTGAAGCCAAACTTCACTTCTTCTCTTTCATAAGTCCGAAGGATTTCACAGAAGCAAGCGAAGATTAGATGACTTCCTGTTCTTGGTGGCGTAGCTGAAATGAGACTTCCTGTCACTCGATGTAAGGTAAAGGCTGACTCTTTTGGTGTGACATCCCTCCCACTTGCTAGACTTGGCCCAGAGGAGAGGTTTAAGGTTTGGGGAACAAGTCCAGGAAGCCGCGAGCTTTGTTAATACATCAAATTAATGTAGTTTAAAATATTTCTACTTATTTTATCTTCGAATTCAGCTAAGGAGTGGAAACACGGCCGTGGTTTGGCTGGTGAATATCCGCCCGTCGGCGCCCTCCAGGACTCTTCTGCAGAGTGTGTAGCCGTACACACCCTAACTCCTGGGAATGGCAGGTCTCTGTGGTCTCAAGATGCTGCTGCTGTGGGCCGGGATCGTTTGTTTAGCCAACTGTAAGTAGCCATCTTCATCTTCTTCATGAAGGAACGGGAAAGCGTTGGTGTTTTAACACGTTGTGACCTTGTGTCTGTCATTGGAAATTCTTCTTGAGGAATACAGTAATTCAGCTGTGGGTTATGGGGTCTCTTATTCTCTTCTTACAACTTGTTGGGTTTTTAAAATGGTAGCATATTGTTGATAGTGCTCATGAGAAAAGGTAGAACGCTTTCCGTGCCTCAGATAGAGAGAGGAATCAGTCAGCGCAAACGCTTGACAATTTGCACTGTACTTGAAACCGGACAAGATCGCTTCACAAAATAAAAAACATTTCAAGTGAAAACTGAGGGCAGAAATGACGAGCTACAGAATATCACGTCTTTAAGTTGTGCCTCCGTTTGTGTTACTTCACCTTTCTTTAACTTTCCAAACACAAGACGTCACACATGTGTGATGTGGGAAGCTGATAAGTGACAGCTTTGTATATTGGCAAAATAATTTGTTATGTTCAATCACAAAGAAATGTTAATAAGAAAGGTCTTAAAACCTGCTATTTCATTTTATACTATGGGAATTTTTGCAAAGATGTTTCTGTTCTGCTTTGACACTGTGGGTGTGAGTGGCTGCATGCTAGTGCAATCGTGCGAGTGCATGTGTCTATAAGTGTGTGTGTGTGTGTGTGTGTGTGGTGGTGAGGGGGGGGGCGATTTTCTATCAGAGATGAGAGGATTTTTTTTTTCTGGGTGTGTCCCTGCAAAGCTCTTCACTTCAACTCTAGTGACCATAGGTATTGAATGCGATTAATATCTGATAGTGTGTGTGTGTGTGTGTGTGTGTGTGTGTGTGTGTGTGTGTTCAGACCCAACTTGCTGCCTCTTGCATCACTCAGCGTTCTGGTACTTTTCAGCACATCAAAAAATGTCTGCTATTTTCAGCAGAGCGGCCTTCGTGCTGAATGAACCCTTCAATCTAGTCCGTCAGGGTCAACATGTGTCAGTCGTGTTAACATTTTTATTCATATATGCGTTTTTTTTTAATTAACCTGCATTTAAAAAAATAATTTAAACACTGTAGAGTTAAGTAGCAATATTTTGTAACAGCACTAAGGACTGACCGGATTTTATTCATTTTGTTTCAATTGAGTTATTTTTACATGAATATCATAACGCATAACTGTGGTTTGGTATTACAGTTACTTAAACACAGTACACCAGTACTGTTCTAATGTACTTAACTCCATGGTATTTTATACTATTGGCCACTACCTTTCATATAGCAAATTTAACCAGTACAACCAGTATAAAAAATCTATAATCATAATAAACTGTGATATATTTCGCATAACAATATATCTCTTAGAGAGTTAATTTTGCCTGATAATCATGTAATCTCATACGTAAAATAAAAAAGACAAAAAGTTTTAATTATACAGCTTTTTAATTGTAATAGTGCTTTTAAAAAGTGGCATTACTACCTTCATGCAGATGCCTCAGTGTAAAAATAATACTTATTTTTAGCGTTTTTAGCGTAAAAAATACATTATTACAGATAACATTCATTATTATAATATTTATGTATTATTATTATTTAGTTATTACAAATCTCATTCTAAAGATATTAGCCGACCCCTCTCACAGACTCTTAGGAGCCGCTTCCCTCGAGCGGGACCCGCCACAGAAAGTTATTTCCCGTCAGCATTTGGTCTCTTAAGTCCCCCATGACCCAAATACTTAATACCCGGGAACATTTGCACGGTGGTTTCTCTCAGCATGGAAACATATGGACTTACATACGTGTTTTAACGTACTTATTTGTTTGTATTGTTAATTCTTGCCTGTGTATTTGTATCTTATTTTAATGTATCTTATTTTAGTCTTATATTGTATTCTTCTTATATTGCACCAAGTCAAATTCCTCTATGTGTAACATATGTGGCAGTAAATGGCTTCTGATTTCTGGAGAAACTTTCACCTGCGAAGGAAGATAGTTATTAATGAGTAAATACTTCTGACATGCAATGTGTACTTGTATCATAGTATTGTGTTTTACAATGGTACTAATTAGCAGAAAATGTGAGAGCACTTTATCTGTACACACGAAAACTAGTTGCAAGCTTTATTTAGCTGTAGCAGAGCAGACTTGTCAAAATGTCGACCACTTCCGTGTTCCGTTCCGAGTTTCCTTCATTTCCTGGCAGAGCAGAGCACCAAGTAGGCTGAGACAGAGCACCAGTAAAGGACTTGAGAACTTGTGAAATAAAGGGAAGTACAGTGTGCAAAATGAAGAAGTGAGGTCAGAAATGTTAAACATGTGCGTGCTTGTTAATGCAAAACAGGAGAAGAAAGTAAGGGCGGATAAAAATACCTAATAGTGTTAACTGGTGGACAGAAAACAGATACGTGAGAGATCCAGACATTCTTTACTGAATGTTAAACAAATCAGGCATTTGGGCTTTTAATGTCACTAAATTGTAACATTATTGATACGTTGTCATGGTCGACTTGTCTCCCTTTTTCTACTTCTGCTTCTTCTCAAACTTAGACAAAAAACGTTGGTGAGCGTGAACAGACGGAAGTCACAGCATGTCACTTTTGTTTCACATTAAAAAAGATTCCTTCGTGATAAGATACATGCTGGATGGCTTGATGTATTCATAAAGAGCAAGTGCATCTCTCACACCTTTACTGAAACAATTCAAATGAGTCACAACGACGGTGAATTGGGAAATGTCAGTGCAGAGAGCGAGCATCTCTGCCGGTATATTGAAAAAAGAGTGCACAAAACCACATCCTGAGTGTGAATCTCCCCATCACCTCACCCCTCATTTTCTATTATTATAAAGAAATGGACAAAACAGCCCCAATGTGTTCCCAGTAAATCCATTCTAAAAATGTCGGGAGAAAACAGACCAAAAGAATGAAAAGCCTTTTTAATCAATGTTTTATTCATTATTTAAAAGGAGTATAACTTCAGAATACGTACTTTGTTAAAAAGCAGAAGTAATATTAAAAAAAGCTGTTCTTTGCAATAATTAAGAGCGAGGTGAGAAGGTCTGTCTGTGATCTATGCAAACTGAACATGAATGTTCAAGTGCGGAGAGGTTCTAGGCTTCAGTGCCGAGGAGGAAATTGTGGTTTTCTTCTTTTGAAATAGCAAATGTGGCTCCTTGCAGCGTTGTTGTAGCAACCACATGCAGTTCAGATGAAAATGGTTGCCGTGCTCTGTTTGACCTGACAATGCTTCAGGCCGTGCAGGGAGGCTTTTTTATCGGTCAGATAAGGTGCACACTTTAATAAGACTCAACGGAAACAACTAAATGACAGTTTTTAAAGTTATTTGTCTCTTTAATTTTCTGAATATTCTGTTTGCTGCACTGTACTCTTCATGAAAAAACAGCTTTTATGATTTATGATCATTGTTTCTCTTTGCAGGTCAAGATGCAGGTTCAACGCCAGCAGGTGAGTGTCCAACGCACATAAAACATTAAATAATGACCACTATGATTATTAGAAATATAGTTTCGCCACCAGCTGTGCTGAACCTTGTGCAATATCTTCAGCTCACACTCTATTTATGTATTTATTATCTCTTCAGCACCGAAGCCAGCAGAATTTTATGAAATGAATGTGGTCTGATAATATAGCAACGCGAACTGGAAACAAAAGTCTCAATTCAGATCTTTTCCTTTTCTGTTCTTAAGGTGTCTAAACGTTTATATGAGGTCAAGTGATTTATCCCGAATTTGATTTATGTAAACTTTTGACTTTAACTTGTGGTTCAAATGAATCAATAAATCACTGTTCTGGAAATGTAAGAAAATTATATTTAATATCAGAAAACCTAAATGTCTGTATGTAAGTATTTAAATGCGGAAGTTCCAAGGCGGTAAAAAAATTCTGAAATCTTGTTTCCATCTTATGCAGAGACTCTGTTTCTGTAAATAAAACAAGAGTTCATTCCATGGAATCTGTGAGACAAAGTTAAAGTAGAATTTGTCTTTCATATCAGGCTCAGTCTCATCACGTACTCTTTAATAACAGCGTGTTTATCAAGAGAGCGGCAACAGGATTCATGTGGTCCTGATGATTGGAGGGAAAATGCTACACAATACTTTGATGAAGTACGAGCTGGTATTGAGACTGTTTTTGATCTTATTTTGGTTTTCTTGGAACACAGATGTTTCAACCCGCTCACCTCCACGCACAACCACAAATTCCACTTTGTCTACAATGACGAGTTTATCTGTTACCTCCTCATCTCCACGCACCGTGACAACAGCTACTGTCACGCCTTCAACAGTCGCCCTCATACCTGCACTCACCTCAACAAGCAGCATCTCAAACTCCCCAAATCCCACGACCAATTTACTCCCCCCGGCTGGTAATGTATTCCGCCTGAGTTGAATTGGGAACCTTAGCGTTGCATTCAGCATGATATTGCTGCTTTATGCATTATATCAAGACAGTAAGTATTTCTACTTGAAGGTGACCTTCAGCATGCTCTCCATCTTACAGACACTGCTCCTCCTGCAAACACCTCTCTCCCAACCCTCACCTCCACCCTCACCTCCATCCTCACCTCCACCCTCACCTGCAACCAACGCCACCGAGCAAATAAACCCTCAAACAAACATCCCTCAAACAAACATCACTCAACCCAAGCCTCCAATCATCACCTCCAACACCACAGTGACTCCTGCAACCTCAGGTTGGATGTCTATCCTTACATGCACCGTATGTCTTTTCAAGGACTCTAACAAGACATTTATCTACAGAAGTATAGTCAACAGTTACTAACACAAGCAGCGCTAAGGAATAGATTACTAGAAGTTCATAAGGAACCCTCAAAATGGCTTTGGAGGTGTTAAAGTTGTAAAATCATGTATTAATATTTTGTTGATTTCTTTTCTAATCTTATGTGAATGTGTTCTCCATCCACCACACAAGGTCCTCAACCTCAACAGTGTGAGTATCAGTATTATTTTCAAAATACATCATTTTCATCTTTACACTCATAGACCACTAATTATATCGTTTAAGAAAACAAAAAGAACCATCTGTTTGAGATTTAAGATGACATAACACATGACATGACTTTGTGTTCAGGTTCTTACATTGTCACACACATCCTGTCTGGCTTCATGGTCAACGTGTCAATGGATCCTACAACCACCAACTACACCATCAACTTAAAAGAAACGGGCCAAACAATCAAAACCATCAATCCGACCTTCAATCAGAGCGTTCATGAAGTCAAACACCTGAAGCCGTGTACTGAATATGTACTCAATCTGACATTTACTGACAGTACTGGCCAAGAAAAGCCTTGTGGAGCTGAAAGTACAAACACGACCCTCGGAATGAGTGAGTAAACATTTCAAAGTATTTTATCTATGAAATGAGACCAACATACATTTGTGTGCAAATCATTTCACTTGTTTATTTCAGGTAAAGATGACGTTCAAAATGGCACCTGCATGTCTGGATACGTTTGTTACCGGAGTGAATGGGACAGCTCTTCTCTGTCAACATCATATAACATTCCAGCTGAGCAATGCAAAAGTGACAATAAGACGTTCTGCATCAAACCTCGTTACAACGACATATGCACAGATTTAACTACAACCTTCACTTCAGAACACTGTCGGACTTCCTTTAATCTCACCAGAAGCATCACTGTTGGTACGTACATTAGTACGTACGCTTGGAATTACATGTGGTGAAGAACTTGTGTCATCATGTTTATTTTGATGTTTCCCTTTTTGTTCTACAGATTTCTTGAATTCATCCGAAATAAATCAGACGGCTTCAACTAAATTTCCAGCACAAATTGAACCAAAATTACCTCCAAGCTGCATCAATCTCACCGTTGGTTACACCTGTCATGGTAAGTGGAACGACTGGAGGTTGTCATTGACATTGTGGTAACAGTTTGATTTAAAACATAATGTAATCGTTGGGTTTTGGGGCAAGAGAGATTTGAGGAATTGCTTTGTTCCCTCTGTGAATACAACACTAACACATTTGCTGTGAATGTGTTCACATTTGAGACAAAGAACACAAATACCAGCTGTTGAAGGAAAGCTGTCGTCCTCGTGTCTCCACAGAAGTTGGTAAATCCAACACCAAGAACCTGTCTGACCTGAACCCTTTCACCAACTACAGCTGCACGGGTCAGGTTCAGAACGGCAACGTCACCCTGAAAAACACGGCCGCTGTCAGCTTCAGGGTTGACTGTGGTATGATAATATATTCAATTCCTCTCTGTGACGTGATAAGAACTTGTGTCCCATGAGAACGTGGAGAGAAGAACAGCTCCAGTTGTTCAGTTCAGTGTTACAGATGTCTGATGTGTTCCTACAGATTTTACATTAAACGCCAAAAAGATTTCTTCCACCAACACGTCCATTCAGTTGAGCTGGAACACCAGCAGTGAGAACTGTGGAGACGTCCTTAAGAATCTTTCTTATGTCTGCAGTTGTTCTCCCAAAGAACGTAGTAAGTAAAGTATTTAAGTGATCATATTATCAGTTGATTCATTTTACAGGAATAGACTTTTGTCTTTGGAGATCATTTTATTTGTCGGTTTACTCAACATGGGAACATGCTGTGAATCAGTGCTTCATGCTAACACTTTAGCTTCATGCTAACCCTTTAGCATGAAGCTTCCTACTGCCTGATCGTAGATGTTGATAAGTTCAGATGATAAAAACTACTCAGTTAATGTTATTACATTTCTGTTTACCAACGAGCACAGAATCTATACTAAAGCTTTAGCTTGCGAGTTGGTGATATTTTCTAACATAAACTCATGACACATAGAGGATATTAATGAATTGATTAATTCATTAACTCATGTACATATTGTTGTTTCTTTAGCTCCAAAAGGAAAACATACAGCTGAGAATGGATCAGGAAGAACATGTAATGTTACAGGACTGGAGCCGTTCACTAAGTATCACTGTGAGGTCCAAACCAAATACGACGGGACACTCAGACCAACGACAATAAATACTATTACACCAAAAACTGATGTTGGAAGTAAGTGTAAATTTTTTTATTTATTACGGTTTTAGTAATAATATTTCTTAAAACACGCCTACAACAGAATGAACATTACAAAGCTGCTCCAACTCTTAGTGAAGTACAGTGGTTACTTTACGTGTTATTCTCTGAATAGAAACCTACAAGCTTCATTCAGCTCTGACCTGGTTATTCATCAGGTGGTGAGTAGAGTCTGGAGTTTGGTATCAAGTAACTATTGACAGATACATTCCAACCAGTTAGTACAAATGTGAAAAACTAAAAGCATTAACATTACTTGAATAATGTGCATTCACTTTAAATCCTGTTTCAAGTGACACTTTTGACACAAAACCAAATCTTTAAGTGTAATGTACATGCTGTTCTGTTTCCTAATTCATTTGTTTCCTGCTTCATCATCTACAGGTTACGAGCTTTATTTAAACATATGACACGTGTGAAGTCAGACATTAAGATTCTTCACACATCTTCCTAAACATTAAACATGAAATTCAGAATCCATCATCAGCAATCATTTAGGGACATGCAAGAATATAGAATAATAATCATAACTAAATGATAATAAATAATGATTCATGTTTCATATGTTTTTTTCTTTGAGTTCATAATTATTATTGTTTTTAAAGTTAATCAGATCATTGACAACCAGGACAACAAATACAGCAACACGCTTATTATATTATTAGAGCTGGTTTAAGAATCCTTCTGTGACAATGTGTTGTATCTGATGGGAAATATGTTGTTTTTCTTCACTCTCTTAGCACCAGAAGAAGTTACATCCCTGCACGTGAAACGGACAGATAATAACCAGATATCAGTAACTTGTCGTCACGGGGTGTATTCTAATGGGCCTGAGAAGACACTGAAATACACTGCAACTCTCTCTAACGATGGGGCCGAGACCAAGACGCTTAACAGCAACGAATGCAAGTTTGAATTCAAAGATCTGAGCTACTCACGAACTACTCAGTGGAAGATTGCATCATACTAATTGTTGATTCACAGATATAGTATCTTTATTCATGTTTGTCAAATGCTATAATTCCTGATAAAGGCTTTTGTGGGGTTTCCAGGTGATTTTTTGCAATACGGAACTTTGCAGCAAACCCAAGAAGGATTTTGCTCAAACTTCCTGTAAGTGCTGTTTAAATTTATGCTCCAAATCACATTGTTTCAAATTGTTTCGTTATATTTTGATTTCACAGACATTACACACCCATTTCCATATCTTGTATCTTTATAATTTGTACCACCACTTTGATATGATTTCTCCATAACTTTACAGATAATGAAAAAGCTGTCATTGGGTTTCTGGTCTTCCTCATCATCATTACGTCTGTGGCTCTGCTTTTGGTCGTCTACAAGATATGGATTCTGAGGCGCAGAAACTCCCAGTAAGATCTATTTTATCAGTTTGACTTTGTTTTACACATGTTCACACATCCAATACATGACTTTTCCTTTACGTAGCATTAAGAGAACTATTATTTCATTTCAAACATAAACATCATTAATGTTATGAAGCACATGATGTCGGCTTTCTTTTTCCACTCTGTACTTAAAATCATTTTATCATAATTTTTTCTTTGTACTTTGCAGGGACCTTGTAGAAAACATGATGCTTATTTCTACAGCAAGTAAGTTGTCTCTGTATTTTTTTTAGAATCCTGGATTCCGTCTTGAACTAGATGATTGAAGGAGTTTTGGGGGATTTGATACTTGTCACTTACTGCTTTCAAATGATTTATACAAAACAAAATTGTATAATATTATATAAATATATTGTTATATAATTTTAAATATACGGATGTAAAGGACATTCCTTGTTAGAAAATATAGAAGCATGTTTCAAGAGAAATAAATCCTATAACCACAGAAATATATTTGAATATTTCCTGAACTGTAATGTCCAGTAATAGCTGGTAATAAACGTTGGGATTACTTATTTCTCATCTGCTGGCTGATTTGCTGTTGCAGATGACGAGGAGAACCTTCTCACTGTCGAGCCGATCGCAGCAGAAGTCCTACTGGAAGCTTACAAGAGGAAGCTCGCTGATGAGGGAAGACTTTTCTTGGCAGAGTTTCAGGTACATTTGATATCTCAGTTATTTTTGGAACATGTTTGTTTTTGTTCTTTTTTACAGGTCTTTGAGTAAACTATTAATCACAGATATGAAGTGTGTCTGGGGCTTTAGAATTGCTGCCCGAAAAATGACCTGACTTGTTTCTGCTTTCAGAGCATCCCGAGAATCTTCTCCAGGTACACCGTGAAAGAGGCCAAGAAGTCCTGTAATGGCCCCAAGAACCGTTACGTGGACATCCTGCCATGTGAGTCTGTCCAACACACCTGAGGGGTTTTATATTATTCCCTGTATTTACCATTAAACACCAGCAAAACAAGTATATGAGTGATTCAGTTGCAAGCAGCCTTGACTACACTCACACATTTACTGTATAAACTGTGGTAGCTGTTTCTTTAATATGTGTATTCAAATATTTTGTAAAATTATACACACCTTTTACATTTGATATTTTGTCTACATAAACATCTTCTTCATTTCTAGACAACGTACACACATTCCTCGTTCATTAACGGTTGTTAAAATAATCTATTTGTTCATTTTCTGTCTTATACCAGATGATTATAACCGTGTACAGTTGACCACCGGAAATGGAGATCCAGGATGTGACTACATCAATGCCAGCTTCATTGATGTATGAAAAACCCTTTTACTGTTACTGCTGCAGTCATAAGAATTATGAAACAAAACAAACATATAAATGCCAGACTAGTCACCCTGACCCGTAATCCGAGCTAAACAGACACATTTTATACACCTCCTTGAGCCTCATTTGTTTTCCTCCTGCAGGGGTACAAGGAATCTAAAAAGTACATTGCAGCTCAAGGTAAAGTAAAGTTCTTATACTCTTCACATTCTCCGCTATGTTTTGGGATGAGACCATGAGGTATTTTGTATGTGCTGCAGGGCCGAAGGATGAAACTGTGAGTGACTTCTGGAGGATGGTCTGGGAGCAGCAGTCCTCCATCATTGTCATGGTAACACGCTGTGAAGAGGGAAACAGGGTAAGAAGTTGTGATTAAACTTTTTGTTGACTTTAAATATTGCAAACTATAATTTTCCCTTAACTGACTTGTCACTTAAACACTTTCACGTCAAAGCTACTTGGCCAAATATTGACTACTGTGTCAGATATAGACACACATGCATGTGTTCCCTGTGTTCACATTTCTTGGAGAATATTTGTACTTTTCTGCATTTAAATAACATGCATCAACTGCATATTTTACATTGGTCTTAAAGTGCTGCTAAAATGCCAAATTGTGTGGTAGCTGTCTCTCCTGCTTACCGCTCACATATTGTGTTGAAGGTTAAGTGCGCGCAGTACTGGCCGTCTCCAGACCGGGAAACAGAGATCTTTGAGGAGTTTATAGTGAAGCTGAACTCAGAGGACTTCTGTCCAGATTACACCATCCGCCATCTCAGCCTAACTAACGTGAGTTTACATTAAACGTTTAAGTCCTTGCTTTTCTATCGGCGTTTCAAACAGTGTTTCTTTTCGTCTATCTCCTAATGCACTTGGTTGAATGTTTGTTATTCTGTGTCTTTTCGTACTTTCGCAAAACCGTGTGTGTCTGTCTGCAGAAGCGGGAGAAGAACTCAGAGAGGGAGGTGACGCACATCCAGTTCATGAGCTGGCCGGACCACGGCGTCCCCGGGGAGCCGCATCTCCTCCTCAAACTCAGAAGACGCGTCAATGCTTTCAAGAATTTCTTCAGCGGCCCTATCGTCGTTCACTGCAGGTGACTTCAAGCTCTCAACTATCAACATCAACAATTTGCTAATTGTGTCCTTCTGTTTTGTTAATTGTTCTTCTGATTTTGGTAGTTGTTTGTACCTTACAGCCTATATAGTGTTTTGTTCAATTTGTATATATCGTAGTCACATAACTAACGTATTTTCACCTCAATGCTTCACTGCAGATTAAAAGTTGCTATTGGCCTCCAAACTACGTCTTCACATGCCACTGGTAGACATGTGTACCAACATGTATTAACACAATTTTATCCACGTGTAGTGCGGGAGTCGGGAGGACGGGCAGCTACATTGGCATCGATGCCATGATGGAGGGTCTGGAGGCGGAGGGCAAAGTGGACATCTACAGCTACGTAGTTAAACTCCGCAAACAGAGATGTCTAATGGTTCAAGTCGAGGTGAGAAATCCGCCTATAGCTCATATTTGAAACACTGTGTGTGTGTGTGTGTGTGTGTGTGTGTGTGTGTCTCATTAGTGTTACGTTAACTGGCTGAATAGAGCACCATTAAAACATAAGAATAAAATCATCTCAGCTCCCAATAAAGCATTACCAGCTTATTGTACTCTGAAGTAATACTATTCAAAGCCTTCTGGATGAGCATGAGGATCTGTTTTTTTATTTTATTTAAAACGTCACAGACAAGTAGGCAGAGGTGACAAGTTGTTACATAGTGATCAAACAATCGATGGTGTGCGTTGTGTAGCAGTTTATCTATAGTCCCAAAATGTATGTCCTGTGTTTTTATTAAATGTATTTGTGGGCACACAGGCCCAGTACATCCTGATTCACCAGGCTCTGTTGGAACACAATCAGTTCGGGGAGACTGAGATCACTGTGTCTGAGATCCACAGCATCCTCAGCACGCTAAAAATTAAAAACTCTGAATATGAACCCACCTTGATGGAAGAGGAGTTTGAGGTACGACAATCCACAACATCCTTGTTTCTGATCGCTTTAAAAATCTCCAAAATGTTGTTTTCCTCCTAATTTAATTTGAAAGAAATGACAGAGCTTCATTATATCCCTAGTGACACGTCTTTGTCTTGTAATTCAGAGGCTCCCCAACTTTAAAAACTGGAGGACATTCAACACAGGGATCACAGAAGAGAACAAGAAGAAGAACCGCTCTTCATCTGTCATCCCATGTAAGCTCAACACAGGGACTAATTCAATTATAGAATAACAATCGTTACATATCTGTGTATGCTTATAATCTGCATCACAGTTCAATCACATACCAGAATACTTATTTTTAATTCCCCCCAGATGACTACAACCGAGTGCTGCTGAAGCTGGATGAAGGACGCAGTCATGACAGTGACCCCAGCGAGGGAGACGAAGAAGAGTCATCCGATGAGGAGAACGAGGAGTCCACTATCTACGTCAATGCCTCCCACTTAGATGTACGTTATTTTACTGGCACGTTCAGGTTATTTGCTAACATCTTTCTGCATAACTCGGACATTGGCCCGGACGACGGGACAGAAATAACAGGTTTGGTTTAATTGCAGCAAAACAAACTGTGCTCCTGTCAACATCCTTCCTGTTTAATTCCAGGACAGATTTAGTGGAATTGACTATGTTTGTACAACAATAGACGTGTGACGTGTTTGCTCGCCCACGCAGGGATACTGGGGCCCAGACGCCCTCCTCGCGGCGCAGACCCCGCTGCCGGACACCATGGCTGATTTCTGGTTGATGGTTTACCACAAGAAAGTGTCCACTATTGTCATGCTCTCTGACTGCAATGAGGGAGACACGGTAAAGTATAATGCACATATCGTGACATGTAATGTTGTATTAACATACAGAATACACACTGCTCTTGGCGCATATACTCTATGGGAGATGCACATGTTTTCTTAAGTGTCCCCTCGTTCACAGGACTGTGTTTACTGGGATAAAGACAAGAAAACATTTGGGGACATTGAGGTCGAACTGGCCAGCACGGACGTCTCCCCATCTATCATCAGCCGCAACATGCTGATACGTCACATCAAGGTAACGCAACAGTAACCTGCTAACCACGTCTGCAGGATTATTCCCAATGGTTATTAGCATCAGCCTGTAATCTGACCGCTCATTTCAACGTCTCTAGATGTCTTAAACCCCCACTTCTGTCAACAGAGGAAAGAGAGTCGGCCGGTGAAACAGTTCCAGCTGCTGAAGTGGACGAGCGGCGAGAGAGAGGTGCCGGAGAAAGCTCAGGATCTCACAGACGTGATCAAGGAAATCAAGAAAAGCTCTGGAAGCATGAAATCACAGAAGAGAAACCCTATTGTGGTGCACTGCAAGTAAGACAACCTCACAACCCTCTGCAAGAGAAATCCTCCCATGCGCCTTGAGTTTCTGAGCAGATCCAAAGTGTGACTCCTACTATTTATAGAAAAGTTAACATTCAATTCTTATTTTAGCACACGCAATTTGTCAGTGTGGGCAGATTAAATGTATGTATGATACGTATATTAGAAGCAGCTAATCACAGTTGTAGTGTCACGTTTTTACAAGGGAGATAAGGGAGATTGGAGAGTGTATGTGATTCTCTACTGTGGGAAGTTTCATGTCTCCAGTCGAAATGGAGAATAGAATTTAAATGAGCTATAGGTTTGAATACGATCGTTTGATTGGCCCATATTTCTCTAACTTCCAACAATTAGAATTAATGATGCTGTAGAGAGACAATTTACTGGCCTGAGTCTGGAATAAAGCGATCAACATGGTCATCAGTTATGAATTCATCTGCAAAAGCATTGTGTATTTCATTTGTCTGAAATCCTTATCATAACCAGTGGCAATTAAAAACATCCATGTATAGATGCTGAGTATCTGCTGCAGCTTGCTACAAAAAAAAGCAAAGAAATAAAATAGTAGCAAAAATGTAATCTAAACCGTGTGTGTGTGTGTGTGTGTGTGTGTGTGTGTGTGTGTGTGTGTGTGTGTGTGTGTGTCATCAGTGATGGCTCGTCCCGTTCAGGGATTTTCTGTGCTCTGTGGAACCTGATGGACAGCGCTGAGACAGAGAAGCTGGTGGATGTTTTCCAGGTGGTCAAAACTCTACGCAAGGAGAGACAAGGCATGCTCTCCAACCTGGTAAGATAGAGGAACACAAAATGTGTCACAGCTTTACGTCAAACAGTGTGTGAAGTGTTACAGCACCTGGCTCGTCAGTGACTCAAAATGTTGATATTTGACAGAGGAAGTCCTGCATTACTACCTCCTATATACTGTGGTTGTTTTAGGGGTGAAGTGTTATGTGAGTGACTCATATTTAACAACAGTACCCAGTAATAACAAGACTTTTATTTTCAAAAATGGTTGTACGACAATAGAGGTTTATGGCCTAGAAGAGTCAGATACAAGAAAGATGCAGAATGTTGCATTTGACTCCTTCAAAGCTGATTTGTAGTGGTTTCATTTGTGTATTGTGAAGACCATTTTGAAAAGGATTACTCTGCAGCCCCACGTGATGGTGTCTTCCGCTTTTCCGTCTCCTATAGGAGCAGTATCAGTTCTTATACGAGGCTCTGGGGGGGGTCTACCCCGTCCAGAACGGTGAAGTGAAAGCAGTGCAGGCCTCCGCCTGCGACTCCATCCAGGTGGTCAATGAAACCAAAGCAGACGAGCCGGCGGCAGAGGAGGAGAAGGTCGAGCAGCCGGGCGTCACTACCAGCGATACCCAGCAGGCGGCGGCAGAGACCACTCCTCTGGTGGTGGATGGAGAGAAGGAAGAGAAAAAAGAGGAGACTGAAAAAGAGACAACGCCACTGACGGACTCCGCCGTCACTGTGGAGGTCTAAGGAGGTCTAAGTGGTTGTGCCTTTTACTTTTTGGAAAATATACGCGCTTTAGTTGAATGCTTTCTTTTATTACTTAACTGTATGAATGTATAAACGTTGTAAAGCTTTCACACACTATTGTGTTGAGATGTGCTAAAGAATTTGCCAAAATATGGTCTATTTCCAAAAATATTAATTTTCTAAGTTATAAATAGGAAAAGTATGAGAATGCAGGATTATGTTTTGTGTTCACTAAAATGCTGTCGTCAAACTATGGCGCCTTGATGAGAAATGTATGCTTATAGCTATATAAGTGCATGTTGAGTTTGAGGTTAGTGTCTGTATTCCCCTAAATAATTCCTAAGATTGCTTTATCATCTAAAGTTATACACATACATATATAGTCGCTAAGTTTAAATTTTGTCGTGTTTCACTGCATCATTTCATGAGAGACTTGTGAAGAGTGTGAGTCTTCTGTATGTTGAGTACATGCATTTCAACAATAAAGTTTAATTTGTCTGCATTTATTACTTTATTTTGTAAATTCCCTCTTACTCTAATCCATCATTTTATGCAACAGTTAAAACAGTTTTGAGGATCTCACAATCTCACAATTAATCAGGATTAAGGAATATTTTACACAAAATCTGTCAACTATTGGTCATCAAAAGATGTGACGGGGGGAGTTCCCTAAACAGGAAATAGCGGATTGCCTTTGGGCAAGGCACTAAACAACATACTACTCATTATACACCAACTGGTGTTCAGTTGTTTCCAAAAAAACATCCATAACAATGTAAAAAGGTTACATACAGGTTACAAAATAAATGGAAATATTATAAAATGTAATATTAAAAAAAAACTAAAAAAACTAATAAAGTGTGTAAAACTCATAATAATTTACCTTGATACAGTTTTAAATCAGCAGTTTGTCAAAGGCAATACGTTACACATTTAAAGACAAACAAGATAGGAAGTATAAAGTTTCCTTAGGAGGATCTGTATATATTCCACATGAATAAAAGATAATCGTTTGTTAGCTTGAGTCTGAATACAAATCTTTCATATTTCTCTGACATAAGAAATACATTTCCTTTCAGTGAAATCCCTGCTACAATGTATTTTAATTACGGTACTTTTGATTCTATGTTAGATGAATTTGTAAATACCACAACTATTGCAGCACTGAGAACATTTTGGCTAATGTTAAGACATCCATATATTATTGCAGTGGTCACAAAAACAGTCTCATCAAAAAAACTTTGTTTACACTGATATAATGCTAATATTTTACAGCTAACTTACCAAAAAATATAAATATTGTGGAATAGCAGTTGTAGGGAGAAATAAAGGCTTAATGCGTATTAATAACATTAAATAGGTCTACTAGCATTGACAGTAACAGTAAAAAACTGCCTACACAATAGTGTTGTAGACTTATTACTATAATGAATTTGAATGATTAAGGATGTAGTAACAGCACATTGCTTCATAGTTAAACAAACTTTAGTGTGAAACAGTCACATTCAATAGAACCCAATCCAGGAAATATTGAGTTCTAATAACTATAAGTATTTCCAATCTTTGACCTCCTATGATATTATGCAAACATTATATTCTCCTTTACAATTGCCAAAATGCTAAACATACATTTCTAAATGGGAAAAACATCCGATTTGTTTTCAATCTTTTGTATATGTAAAGTCCATTTAAAACCCTCCCCTCTATGAGAAGGTTGGAGATATATCACCATATGCAATGAAATTATACACACTAAAACAAATAGATTTCACAGCCAGCTCAACATTGTATATTATCCGTCAGGTAGGCAAATATATGAGGCTAGTTTTGCAGCCAACATGTTTACATAAAGTTTTGGCTTTGTTGCAGCTTTGCAGTGCATAGGGCAGAAAATAGGTAGTGGAGAAGGAGAACGTTTCACACAGATCATGTTGTCAACTCATGTTGGCCATCGCCCTCATGGCCGTATGTTGGGCTAATCTTTTGGCAACGACGTCAAGGCACAGCTCCATTGTCCCTGATGTATCTGGAGGACCGGAAGCTGCCAGGTGAAGAATGGACCCACAGCCTCCATGTACCTCTGTCCTTCAGCCCAGCGGCTTACGTACCCGGGACCCAGACTTGATTTCCCTGTATTTTGTCACATCTTCAATTCAGCTCGTCTGTTGCAGATGAACCAGCTCCTTTGGCTCAGCGTCAGGTTCAACGGCTAAATCCAGCTCAGATTATCGGGACCTGCAGAGAGCACGGCCGGTCTACGGCCGGTGTTACAACCGCCTGGAGATTCAGCTTTAATTCTCAAGCTTTAGTCACTTCTTGGCCTTGTTTGGCCTCTCCTCCGTGTTGTTGTTTGACGAGGTCGGCCTGGCGGTTGCTGGTCGGACGTTCGAAGGGTCAGATGCAGCTTTGGAGTTTTCAGACTGGGCTTTGGCAGTTTCCGGACGTGTTTTGGACTCTTTCTTCTGCGGTGGAGGGGTGATGGGCTCCCACAGGATGAACTCATGCAGCAGCGTGTTGACAGCCTCAGGACACTCCATCATGACCATGTGACTGCCGTCCTCCAGGACCTTCAGGAACGCCATTAGGAGGATCTGACGGACAGATTGAAGCGAGAGAGCAATAGAACATCATTTTTCTTATTATCTATTATTATTATTATTTATTTTCTTAATTTTACAGCGGGCAATTGTAGGTTGTTGTGGGAGGTTGCAGTATTCATTCAATTGATTTTTTAATCAGTTGAAACCCCTAAAAAAATGTATTTGATAATCGTATACTTTACTATAAACTTTACAAATGATGACCAAACAGCTCCTTAGAGCTTGTATTGGGAGAGACCTTAGAGAATATGTTATGACGACATTAAGTTGTAGATATATTGTATCGTTTAGCAAACAAAACAATAAAAACAATTAAGGATTATCTGCAAAAACAACAGAGATGTTGACAAGCTTTAGGGCCTTAGCTATCAAGGAATCCAATATCATGGCTCCATTTGTAATTCTTGATAGGGATGGTTCTTCAAATGTAACTAAACATTTAGTTCACAACATGACAGCATTAACACAGCATTATCTCTAGTAGCATCAGTTTGAATCCGGGGCTTTGAGGGTTGCTGTGGTGCACTCACCTCCGCCATGCGCTGGTCCTCCTCGATGGGCACAAACTTGTCATGCATGCCGTGAACCAGCAGAATGGGCACAGTGAGTTCAGCGTGGTACACCTCATCCCCCTCCGGCCAGTACTGCCCACTCATCATGGCGCGCAGCACAAAGGACGACACGTTAAAGGCATTGTTGTCTTTCAGCAGCTGCTTCTCTTTGGCACCCTGCCGGGCAAAGCCGGCCCTGTCGGGGGGGCAGAGCGGAGGACATTTAACTCAATTACAAATATATAACAATCAGTTAGGATAACGTTTGACCAGCGATTATATAACATATTTATACGCGGCACCGCTTTGGCTGGTAAAATTGTCACTGTTGCGTTGTGTGGTACTTGAGAAAGCTCCAGGCCAGCAGCGGCGAGAGGCAGTGAAGCACACAGGTGGGCAGGTTGAAGATGGAGCACAGGCTGGGCTCCAGCGCAGTGGGACCACCTCCGTTGATCATGACCATCTTGTGGATCTGGTCGGGATACTCGTGGGCCAGGAAGGTACAGATCGACACACTGCGAGGGCAGAAGAGCGGTTATTTTTATTTCTTGTTGTAGTTGCCTGTCACTTCGATTGTTCATATGTGGAAAGGGTTTGGATGTAGGTCACTTGATGACTTTATGTGTCAATGAGAAACATTCCTTCATTGCTTCATATTAAGGGCAACAAGTATGCAGTTAAGTTTCTTCCTCGGTTCAGTTTTGATGTTTGACCATTTCTCAGCATATTCTTCTGAATCCTCTACGACAATTCCACTACATGCAAAATGAATTTTGTGATCTTATATTTACCCGTACGAATGTCCTATGAGAATATTCCTCTTGCGCGCGTATCTCTTGAAGATGAGCCTCATATCCTCAGCCAGGGCGTAGAAAGTGTAGGCAGCAGCTATCTGCGGGGCCGAGCTGGCTCCGTGACCCGCCAGGTCCGGGGCGATCACCTCGTAGCCCAGCCTGGAGAAGAAGTCCACCTGGCTTTTCCAGATGTCCAGTGAGCCTCCCACTCCATGGATGAAGAACAGAGCCACGTCCGCGTGGGTCCCTTTGCAGGCCGATATCTTCCTCTCACAGTCGATCACCACGGTGCGCTTGGGCTTCCTCCTGCGTTTCCTGGGTGGTTGCGGCAGGTCAACCTGCCCGTCTGCAGGCGCCTCTCGTCCGGGCGGGCCCGAGTCAGACCTGGAGTCAGGGATGCTGACGGGCACCGAGGACTTTCCGCAGTCTGTCAGTTCATCTTCTACGGGGGTGTTCGGTTCCGCCTCTCCGTTCTGGCAGTTTTTCAGCTCTGCACTCGCACCGTCACCCAAGTTCTCGATGAAAAGCTGCCCGTTACGATAAACTGTGATCTTTCGTTTGCAGCTGACGGTGCCCCCCGACCCCGTGGGCTCCTCCACCAGCAGCCGCTCGGGGACGACGTGTCGGACCCGCAGGACGCGGCCTGGTTTAACCTCAACAAACTCATAGCCGTCAGTGGTTTCGGAGGATTCTGCAGGAACCACAACGTTAGCCGACTTTGGGGTGAGGCAGCAGAGAAGACCCTCCATAAAGCCGGTCAGCATGGCTGCCAGTCTGCAGGGTATACGTTCAAGAGAAAACATGAATCGACACGTTCACAGCAAACCAAAGGACCACAAACTATAAAGGAACTCTATTTGTGTTCACCATTAAGTTTCGAAGAATTATCTGATTTCTTCTGTCAATAGAGCCTCACTATACTAGATGTATCTACGGTCTGTTATTATTAGCCGTTACTGGCTTATCACAAACATAACAATATAAAAATGTACATATGTTTTAAACTTTAGATGTATGAATGCATTTATCAAAATAAATAAATACGACTTCAAGTACTATACAACTATACGTAAAAGTTGAAACAAATTTAGATCAAAAACGAGGACAACCAGGAGAAAATTGAAATGCTCACTGTGTACAGCCTTACAAAAATAGACAAAAACTCATCAAAATGTAAGCAAATGAGTGTGTGTGTGTGATAAATAAGCACAAAAAGCATGTGATAAATAAGCACAAAAACTTTATATTGTACACATCGTTGTAATTCTTTTGTAACTGATGATAGTTTTAACCAGGATATCTAACTAAGTTTCAAAAAGTGCACATTTATCGGTATTAAACACTTATTTTGAAAGAAAAACTCCTTCATCACTACTTACTCCTAAATATCAGTGCATCAAGCATCTCCCCCAATATTGCTCTCTTTGTACCATTTTGTGTATATTGTGTATAAATGAGCATCTAGGAATCTTAAATGTATTATTCAAGGGGGCAAACGCGTTCTTTTTCCTTTACAGTCTGGCATCTAATTACAACTCCCACTCAGGAACCTTTTCCCTCGGTGCAGACTGTGAGGGTAGAAAGACGGGACCAGTAGAAGCTCCTTGAGTTAAAGCTGTCCATGTGATCGCTCTGCAGTGACTGTCTGTCACAACCACATATAAACAACCTTCAATAATGGTACTTTTTAAAAAATGGCTGAGTAAGTCATTGTTAAAAATAAAGGGCAGCTAGCTTACTTGCAGATTTATATATAGGCTGAAGTATATAACATGAGAATTGTAATACACACACACACACATATTCAGTTCATGACAGTCTTAACATGTAATGAGGTTTTGAAAGGACTGTTAACTAACGTCAAAGATACCTTTCATATTTACTTATTACATCCACCTACAATCACAAATAGTCTTCTTGATTATTTATAAACCAATATTGATGAAAGCATAGCAGCAGAGTGTAAATATCCATAGAATGGATGACACTGTGTAATGCATACTCATACACAAGGTGCAGTACACAGTATGTGTGGTGTTGTCACTTGATTATCAACCATGGCAACAGCACAACAACCAGGCAGGGTCTGCAAGTCTGTCTGCTGGTGTCATTATCCAAGCTTCCCGTAGCTCCCCTCCCTGCAGGAGAGGATTATACTCTTCGTCTAAGTCCACACAACTCAATCTGTCTCTCTTCTCTCTTGAGGACTGTGACACTGTGCAACAACAGGTTCACCTTCTGCGTGATTTGTTGCATCTTTTCTCCACTTTCAACTGCATCCACTATGCTTTTGGGGTTATGGACACACTGCATTCCCTTCTTATACCCTTACTGCACTTGCACACTTGCACGTCCTTTTTATGCAAACAGCAGTGTTGCTCAGCGCTGTGTGCAAACGTACTGAACAGGCCATTCTGATTTCACTTTACAGGTTTCCCTGTAATATAATTCTTACATTAAAAGGGAATCCATAGTCCAGACTCACCTCACACGTTCATTGCAAATCTTGATTAATTCAGTTTTGTAGAATATACAATCTTTCATCATGACGAGCGTTAATAAGGGAAAAGGACTACAACTTTATCTTTTACAGCCCAATTATAAAGCTGGTCCAAGGCTTGAACTGTCCACCTCACAGTCGTAACACTGCTTCCCTAATTGAATGTTATCAAATGAAAAACGTTGTTCAACAATATCCCAGTGCTGTCTGTCATTATCGTGTTAGTCTACTTTCCAATCATCCAAGGTATGTTTGATGTTTAACATTTGGACATTGTGCTGAAGCACTGTAGTAAGTTTGAGTCCTCTTGTGTTAACACCTCTATGGGTCTGGGATGGGATCAATTTGCCCAGCTCACACACATCATAGTAATCTGTGCATTTTAAAATTGGACACTTAAAAAAGACGTCAAGCAGATAATAATAATTACCAATTTGAGCAAAAAGAAAAACATTTTTCAGGGCTTCATCGCATACTAAATAAGCTCTGCGGCTGATTTCCTTTTCATTCTAGATATATTTAATTTAATTTCCCACTTAACCGCTTGTCTCCTTTAACTGCGACCTAATTTCATACGCAGCAGTATGTATGTTGCGAGTAATCTACAGTAGATCATAAAACAAACCAAACAACCCACGTAAAATAAGTGACATGAAAGGAACTATGTTTACCTGGATATTTCCAACAACTCCTCGTGAAATACAGTCAAATTAAAGTGGTTTTCCTTCGAGCCATCGAGGAAGTGCGCGTGCTGTAATCTTTGCAGGCAATCCAATAATCGAATTTATCTGGATTCTGTTGTCCTGTCAGCATCCACATGGGGGCCAGCATTACACTGACAGCGGATCTCTCTGTTTGGTTCTCGGGTAAATCCAGATTATTTGCCTGAGCCCGCATCTCACTTCCATGTTGAAATGCTTGTTACGGCGCCGGTCTGAGGGCCGTTTTTTTTCCATCAAAGTGAAATATTGTGGTTCCATGTAGACACGCGGAGAGCTGCCCTCTGCTGGCCAGACAGCTGTTACTTGGGTTGGAGAACAGTAAGTCATCTCCATACAAAATGTGTTGTTCTGTTAAATAACAAATATTGTCGCACGTTTTTTTCTTTACTTGAATGTTTGAAAAGTTACTTCAACTGCACTTACTAATTTGACAGTTTTGAGTATCCTCCTCTCGCATACCATCACAATTTGGATTTTTATGAAATACATGTTGTCATGTCGCTTCCACTAAGATCCCTGTGTTACTATTGAAATATTTATTCCTCAACAGCTGCTCCAGCTTATCAGCATCTTATTCTCCAGCACCATGACGAACTGGTGATGAGGCAGTTACCATAGCTGTTGTTGCTAGGTAACTATTTGTAAGAAGTCCAGTTTGAGGTGCCAGTGAAGTGTGAGGAAGACCACATTAATCAAAACGTAGCATCCTGGTCCTGAAAGAAATTGTAGTTCATTCAGTTGTTTTAGAATATAATATAATATTATAGAACAGAATAAAGCAGAATCTGGCCAAGTATGTGTCCGTGACATGTTTGCTTCATATGCATCGGGTAGACACGACAGTCTAGACAGTGTGCTTTGATTGAAGCATTGGCATGTACAATATTTGGATATTTAAAGACAGTGTGTGTTCAACTATAAAATAAACCAGCGATATAAGCTTGCCATGGGTTTATAGATACAGATCAGTGGGATTTACATTTACACCAATAATTCTTGTACTCAACACTGTAAGGTCAGTTGCCGGTGATGTTTTTTTTAACAATGATTTTCATCATAGGAGAGAGCGAGATTTTCCAGTCAATATTTATGATAATATAACGATGTGTCGTGTTCATGATTGGCTGTTATTTCGATCTACTATCACGTGGGACCAAGGCTAGACCAATAGGTGCCTTCGGGGAGTGGTCAATGTAGCACCGCTACCTTCCAGCCACCATGCTAGCCAAAGAAGTCCTGTACAACTAGCTTTGCTAACTCATGTAATGACATACTAGATTAATTTATCTGAGTCTACATCATTTTTTAATCAACACTGGGATCTAGAATGGAACCAGCTACTTGTGTGTGAATATCCTGGTTTTCACCGCCGAGAGGGTCCGACAGGACAGCTGTTTCGGTTTACTAGCCTGTTAGCTAGTGTGGCTAACCTCAACATATTGCCCTGCCATCACGACCAGCACAACAGACACCAAGCCAAGGGGGGTTCGACAGTTGGGAATTTGCACCATCATCATGGAGAAGGTATGTAGTCCACATACACCATGCTTGTGACGCTAGTTGGATCCCCGGGTAGCCCGAGGGCGTTTGGTGATACCGAGCTTGCTGACTGCGGGTAACCGATAGCTGCTAGCCCCCCACCTGCCTCTCCTGAGGGCATTCATTCACCGCGGACGGGTCGTTATCGTCCTGTCGTCCCCGAGCTGCTCAGCTTGGACAGGCTCATTTACAACCAGTTTCTGTGCACTGTATCTGATATCATCCCCGGCTGGGGGGGGTTACCGCGGACCTCACAGGGAGAGTAGCAGGCCCGGTAGCCTGCACGGGTCACTGGGAGAGGGAACGCCCAGCACCGGCTCAGTGACTGCTGCAGTCCGTAGTCCTTTACTGAGGCTGTAGCATAGCAGCTGTAATATAAAACTATTTATTCTGATGCCACACGATACTTGTGCTGTTATGAAGTTCCACACGTGAGTATGTTCCCTAAAGTAACATATCCGTGTGCAGTAGAGAGTCCGATGATTTTGGATTACAGTGTTTAAAGTCAGATTAAATGTAATGTGAAGGAAACCATCGCTGTATTCATCACCTCCCCTCCTGCCCACAGGCCGATTTCTTAAAAGGACTTCCCGTCTACAATAAGAGCAACTTCAGCAGATTTCATGCAGACTCTGTTTGCAAAGCCTCTGTAAGTAGCCCATGATATTGATGTGTATTATCAGTCATTTTGTCATTTTGAATCCACACGAGTATTTACCATGGATACAACTACTGATAATTGTCCAAAAATGTTTTGTTGTAGAATCGGAGGCCTTCTGTGTACCTTCCAACTCGAGATTATCCCTCTGAACAAAGTAAGTTCTAAACTCAAAAAACGGTGGTAAAATTATTTTGTGGAAACTTTGCTCTAAATAAATGAGGCAACATATTTTTCCAATGTGCTGTTTTTTTCTGCAGTTATTGTAACGGAGAAAACCAACATCCTCCTCCGATACCTCCATCAGCAGTGGGACAAAAAGGTGAGCATGTGCATTCCTGTAGAGATAATTTCATTTATCTGGATTTTATTATTGATTCGCCATCTGCATCATTATAAACTGTAGTTTAACTGCTGTTTAATCCTTGTGTGTCTCCTAGAATGCAGCAAAGAAAAGGGAACAAGAGCAAGGGGAGAGTGACAGTCCGGCCCCCCCAAGGAAAATTGCTAGGACAGATAGCCAAGAGATGAACGAGGACTCCTAAGTGTGTGTGTGTGTGCGTGCGTGAAAGTGAGTGAGTGTGTGTGTGTTTGGGTATACAGAGCCAGTACAAACTAACTAACAATGGATAATCCCACCATTATAAATATTCAAGTAAAAAACAAACTCCATTTATATTGTAAAGATTGTGCGAGTGAAAATAGTGTAACCTGAAAATATTTGAAAGTCACTGACTGATCATTGTGAGAACAGTCCAGCTGTTAGAGAGGTGACTTTATACTGATGTTTTTTCCCCTTCTCTTTCCTATGCTGGCTGTTCACTGTGTAGCAGTACATGTTTATATGTATGTTTGTATGCATGCTGAGCTGTGAGTGTGAATTGTACTGTATATTACAAAAAAAAATGTCAGGGCCGTTTTTAAGATGGGATTTGTCTTGACGGTAGCCGTAAAAAGTGTTTCATTGCTGGCGCACGCCTTGCGTCACCTGGAGGGTGTGTCCCGATGTGTGAAAAGATAGCTTTTTGTTACTGTTTTATTCTATTATGGTTTATGTATGGCAATGAGCTTCCTGCCAGCCACAGTGCCCACTTTCTGTTTCACTGCCCGCTCTGCAGCCACATGGGGACAATTTGGCATTTCTTCACACTGTTTGAATCAACAGAACCAAGACCGCACTGTGAACAGAACAGCACAAAGCAGAAGTAACTCTTCCAGAATTCCCAGCAGATGTGTGTTTATGGTGAAGATGCACATCTTCATTATAGTCTGGCACTTGTGCTCGTAGGATAAATGTTGTGGATGTTTCTGAGAAAGGTTTTACATCTAGCACCACCTTCTGGCTAATTGAAGCTAATGGGATTTTCTCTTAAGTTTTAACTGTTCTGTCATCAGAAGATGAAACAAAAAAACCAATATAACATTAGATATTCAGTTGCACATCAAGGTCAAAGCAAAGATATTGTAGAAAAATATCAAAACATGTCTTGAAAGGGAAAAAAATGCTACACTATGATGTGTGTAAATAATCTCCACGACCAGAATGAGTTTATCCAACAAAGAGTCTTTGTCTGTTTTTTTTTTCTGTAAAATAATACATGGATGGATACAATAGAAAACATGGTGACTGTGGAGGTCACCTTGCCTTGGGTGTTTTCACAGCTGGGTATTTTACTTGTGGACCACAATGCACTCCTTGAAGCAGGTTGGAGTTTTGTTATCTGTGTGATTGTGGAAGGTATTAGCCTGGAGGCCTTACAACCCGTCATCGTGGTCCGCACCTTTTAGCCCCCCCGCCCCCAGCTCAGAGCCCGGGATAGCTGTCATCCTGTCTTTGTGACCGGCCCGGATGGGTTTTGTCTGGGCAGTCGGGAAGAGGTGTACTCTTTCCAGACGTAGAATGCACAATAAGTGCAGTTGCCATCCTGCCTTGTTCCTGAGCTTCACTTGGTTTTGGTGTTCTATACTCTACAGCACCGAATGAAGCGTGCTTTTTTTTAATATCACTGCCCAACAGAGTCCCATCAAAGCGTCCCGTTCTTCCTGTCCTCTATCCAGTCGATGCTGTAATGTGGGTCATCTTTCTACTTACAGTGTAAATGCTGCCTGTTTCTCAAGTGTTTAACCACGTTATGATGCTCCTCCTCAGACTGTTCTATAACACACTAAGCCTCGCCCCATCCCGTGTGTGCTGGCTCAGACGTGTTCTTTTTAGCTTTGCTGAAATAAAACTGGATTGAAACTGGGGTTTTGCAATGTGATACTTCACAGACAGATGTTGAAATCATCTTTTGAGCAAGAAGAAAGAAATGTGCAGTCGTGGAGTTTTTATGGTACCAAGTTGGTCACAACACATGAATTGCATTTGAAATAGTTTTTATTAACTATTTTTCAGTCTTACAAAAATATGACAAAATAAATTAAAAGAAATAGATAATCCCATTTCCCAGTATTCCTCGTGAATCCACTTTTTTTTTTTTTTTGTTTGTACGGTTGTACATTGGAAGAGCAAATGATGTTCGGTAAGGGAGGCCTTCATGAGGACGTCTTCTCTCGTACCCTTGAGGTGCGGGTCAGGTTTTAATGTAGCTGTGGTGAGAACCTCAACATTTCCCGAATGCAATATTCCTCATACTGTCAAGATTATCACACATCTTTTATATAACTGCTGTTGCTTTGATAGTGAGTTGCAGACGGCCGATAAGTCTCCGCTGTCTGAGCTACTGTCCTTTCCCGACGATTGCCCAGCGCTGTCTCATCTCACCAAGATCCGTTCATTTACTTCAAACAGTACTTATTTAACAACCCCCATCTGAACGACATGAAGTCGCTGTTGCTGCCAACAGTGCAAGGATGAAAGAAGGGATGTATTGCATCATGGCATTAAAAAAAGGATTTGATGAGGCGATGCTCAGCCCTTACCAACCTCTTTATCACGTGTCCCTTTTAACAATAACCAGCCTGTGAGACACAAGATACAAGTTACATGATACGGAGACGATACAAATTGACGTCTTGTCTATTTCCTTATTGCATTTAATGTCCAAGATTTTCTTGCCTGCCAACGGGAAGTACATTTTTGTGTTTTTTTCTTTTTAGGCCTGTGACTAAACTTTGCTTATTTTAAAGTTGTTACAGACACATGAAAGCAGCAACACAATTGAAAAAGCAATTTGCAGTTCATTGTCATCATCACTCCTCAATTAGACGGATTCCGGAAACACAAAGTGGTAGATGGATGAGTTGTAATTATTGTATTAATTGTGGGTAAGGAGGTGAGACAAGAGCGAGCTGACAGCGGAGATTGAAGCGACACAAAGAAAAGATGCATAGAGTGGTTTGGGATTATACACTGTGTGCTGCGTGTGGGGGAGTTCATCTAGTCTCACAGTATACATGTGAGTCTCCAGCAACTCAGTGTTATTGCCAAAACCTTTGCAAAATGTGATGAAAATGCATAGTTAATGTTTCTGTATCTCTTACTACAGTGTGATGGACTTCTCTAATGTCACCGTAATACGTTTTCCCTTCAAAGTGTCCCAACTGCGGCCCCTTTTGTACACTGATGACTAGACAATGGAGCGATGGGTCAACGTGAATTCAGCTGTCCACCAACACGTTTACTCTGGAAAATACCTGTTAATGTTGTGTGGTGGGTTTGCTTGCTAGAGTTGCGTGATACATACCATAGACTGTGTTGATGTAGATCAACAAAACATACAGTACACATACATCTTAGACAAGCAGCATGATCCCAAAAATACCCCTTTGGTTAAAAAGGTCCCATTATCAGCACTGTGATAAAAGCAATGCAGCAAATGGTGCGTGTACAAAAGATATGGGGCGCAACATAGAAGGGCTTTTAAAACTTGTAAAATGACACAAAAACATCTTAATATTTGGGGAATGCCGTAGTTGCTGAGGGTTAGGGGCAGGTGAGTAGATGACACATGTATTTTGTGAATGTTATGAGGCAGCCGACGTTGGTCCTCTCTGCTGCAGAGCGACACAGCTTTCTATGCAGGGCGTAAGGCTTTAGTGCAAATGTTACTTCCTTGACTCTATGCTCGTTTACCAAGTCTGGTAAGAGTTTGTGACGAAATGAAGCCCCATCTGTGTTTACAAGGCGCTGCACGCTTGGAAGGAGAACAGCCGCCTTGCATGCGCCATTTTCCTAAAATCTCCTTCTCCTTTTTTTTGTTTGCTTTTTTTGTGTGTCTTCCCCTTAAACTCTTGGGGGAAATACTGGTACATGAAAACTTCCTCGACTAGCAAATTCACAGGATGGGAAGGAGGGGTCAAAGCTCGGACATCACCTCTGCTTTAAAAATAAAGCTGGTGACACATCAGGGATGCTTATTAGGGGAGGGTTTGCCTTAAGACTAATGAGAATCATTCAAACTGACTGGTATTGCTTTTCCATTTTTTCCACTTCAATATAAAAGTGAAGGGCCCGAGAATCCCTCATAGTTTCAATTAGACAATATCTAATAACCACTTGTGTTTGTCACGTCCAAATCAAAACCCTTCCCAACGGCTGTTATGTTCAAGTGGGAGGCCAACAAGATGCTTACAATCTATGACTAGAAGAAATCAAGAGACACATCTCTCTGCTGTAAAGGTTAAAAATATTAGAAACGCAGCTCATGCATTTCTTTATGTATTGCAGACATGGAAGGATTTATGTATGTGTGTGTGTGTGTGTGTGTGTGTGTGTGTTTACTCGGTCTTGATAAGAGGGCTGTTTTCTTTTGTCTCAGCAAAAAAAAACAACAGTCACCTCTCATTAGTTCCATCTTCCCCTCTCTCTTCTTCAAGTACTTCTGCACATCGCCTGTGGTAGCACAGAGGGTCGGGCGGGCCTGTCGTCACACAAACACACCACTTCTTCCGCTGAGATGTAACCGACGGCATGTTCGTTCTCTGTGGAGATAGACTAGACTTTAGAGCCGGCCGGGTCCACGTCTGTTGCGTGGCCGTTCTCTGACCCTTCCCCTCCAGGCGAGGGGAACTCGTCTGGAACACCGTTCAAGTCAGACCTGGACGGTTGTCTATCCGACGCCTGTGACGATGAGCCCTCGCCGGGTCTGGGCAGCGCGGCCCCGTTCACGCATGTCCCGCCCTCAGATTTCCCAAAGTTGAACAGTTTCCCAGGGTTGAAGGCCTTGCTGGGTGACTGAGAACGCTCCTGGGAGCTGCTACCTGATGATGATGATGATGATGATGAGGCTGCTGTAGCTGTGGTGTTAGAGGCTGCGGCCGCAGCCACGGAAGCCGCAGAACCCTCCTTCTTGTTCTCCGGCGACTTAAGGAATTTGAAGCTCAGGAACCCGGGCAGCTTCGGCTCACTTCCGGTGGGAGACTGAGGGGAGCGGGCGCCACTCGAGGAGAACTTACTCTGCAGCGGGATGATCTGTTTCAGCTTCATCACGTTGTTGTTGGCCAACAGAGAGCTCGGCCTTTTGGGTTTGTCCGACCCGCCGCCCCCTCCTCCGCCCCCGGAACGTGATTTGCTGCTGTGACTCTTCTCGTGGTGGTGATCTCCAGAGGAGTCGCCCTTGCTTTCGTCCCGCTCCCTCTCCCTGCGGGCCATATGCTCCGCCTGCCTCTGCCTCTCCTCCTCCTCCCTCTTCCTCCTCTGCAGCTGCTGGTAATGCTGCTGCGCCTGCCGCTCATGCTTCTGCAGAGGAAGAGAAACAGCCCCACAATGTGTTTACTAGAATCAGCAACCCAGCTAACCGTCACAATACTGCAGTGCTACGAAACAAATCCCCCACCAAGAACCCTGCATTACTACTACAGGGACCACTACATCTTTGGCTCCTCTGGCAGCTACTGCAATGGATTATTCTTACAATACAGAACACTGCACAGAATGAAGTGAGGGCGTGATCAATTAATTGAATATTGATCAAACTTGATCTATCTATTAAAACTTCTCCCTGAGATACGAAATGGTCTTGTTCCCTTGCGGTCACATTATTTACCTTAAAGGCCTCCCTACGCTGATAATCCAGCTTAGAAATCTCCTCTCGAACCCATGTAGGAATGTCGGGGATGGCCACGTGGATGACGTACTTCAGGAGGATGGCAAAGTGCTGCAGGTATGAACCGGTAGAAGTGAAATGTTTGGGATGAAACAAAAAAAATTCCAATTAGATCCACGGTGCTCACCAATATTCTTTAAACAACTTGAACTAATTCCTGCATAGCATCTAGGACGTGAAATCCGCCTGATGGCTCAACTTCTTTATCAGGCAGAACAGAGCTGCAGGCTGTTTATCCTTTTTCCAATTTTAGGCACAGACTGCAGTGCTGACAAAAACTGTATCTAAATATATAACTATGAAAAGAAATGTTAAGAGAGCTCCAATTCATCTATTTGTGGTTTTCATAAAGATTAGCACATTTAAAACCCATTTCATACATGAGTGTAATATTCACTCTCATTGAATAAGGGATAGTTGATGCTAGTCACCTTTTCGTGAGTATTGATGCTAAAACACAGACACAACCCAACGTGGCATTTATGATACATGTACATGACAAACAAACAAACTGCTGGCGCCCTGAGAAAAGGGTTTTAAAAGCACTTGAGACGGACTCGCAGGAAGGAGCTGTGGTACCTCGAGGATAACGATGGAGATGATGGCCATCTCGGGGCTGAGCCACGGAAAGAGGCGCTGTAGCTGACCACACTGACCAATTAGGTAACAATTCACTATGATGGCAATCAGGCCCATGGCTTCCATCGCTGTCTGTGAAGGAGAAAAGGGAGAAAGCTCAACTTTTTTTTTTCTTCCTGCACATAAGAATGCTTTAAATGTAGATCAGGTCAGTCCTGTTCACCTTCTCGTCTATTATTGGTAATTATTCAATTTGATGTGAACGCAACACAGTTGCAGTTGCATGACATTCAAAATGGGTGTTTAAAGTGTATTGGCTCAATTTACAACAAAGGCAAACTATCACAGTGCTCCTCTGACCTGCCACTGGCCGATGCTCTCCACTCTGATTCCAAAGGGCCTCTGCAGACCGGTGCAGAGCTTAAAGGCATCGCTGCGGATTTCAATGATGTTGTTGATGAGAGCGCACATGGCAGCCAGAGGGAAGGCCGAGGAGAAGAGCACCACGTAACCAAACTGGACAAACATCTCCTGGTAGTCCTGGAAGGTGTCCTGAAAGGGACAGAGTGGAAGATTAGACCCCAACTCTGTCGAGCAAGTACACTGTCAATGCATCTGGACACCTTGAATGCATTACTGTAGACATAATCAGCGTGCCACGCTGCATCAATTAACTTTTATAACATAATCCAGTGTTGTTTTCAACATAGAATTGTCACTCGCGACACGTGTGAAAGGTTATGAAACTGCAAAGGCTTAGGGCTTCTTTTGGATTCATGTTACAGGGCTTTTTAACAAACACGCATTAAAAATGGACCAAGTATGTGGTGAATAACAGTCAAGTGTTACCCAGCTAGCAACATGTGTGGTTAAGTTACTATTATGAACTTGCTTTCTTTCTATTCTAATTGAAACTAAACTGTTTTTAACTGTAAATCTGTTATCCGCAGATTTCATTGGGGAGATTTTATTTCCACAGAGAAGTTTGTCAATCTGGGTGTTGCTCCTTTCCAAATCACAGAGATCCCCTCCTATTCGCTTTCGAATCCAACCATCATAGAAAATCGTCATCCTTCAAAGCTCTGTGCAGAGTTTATGGAATAAGTTCAGTGTGTAGCCCCTCTTACAGCATATGTCTGCATGCAGCTCTCCATCTCAGCCTGAGTGAGCGTGTTGTTCTCTCTCTCCTCCGGGGGGTTAATCCACGATTCCCTTTTTGTCTTTGGCTCAACTCTCTCTGCGCTCCTGCCTCTTCTTCTGTGTCGCAGGGCTGCGCCGCTGTCAGACAGCAGCGCAGCCCTGGCGGCAGCGGCGGCGCCAGCGGCGGCATTTATCCCCTCGGCCGAACCTGTTGCTGCCCCGGCCGATTCCTTCACATCATGGATGCCATTATCATCGTCGTCGTCACACATCTCAAATACGGAGGCAGGGTCCATTCCTTTTTCCACCATTGTGGGGCTCCCTTCCTCCAGGAAGCTGGTGTGCATGGGCGGCCCACTGCAGCCTGCTCTTCTTTCCGACTTCACAACAACAACGACAAGAGATTAGCAAAACCAAGCATCTCTAGTAATGAAAATATAGACGACATTAACAAATGAGCACAAGCACAGCGGCACGTCACACATGTATGTCACCACACATGTTGTACCTTCTCTATGAAGCTGACCTTCCTCAGCTTTAAACCGCAGTCAACCAGACTCTCCTCCTCCGTCTCTCCTTCACTGAACCTCCCGCTGTCAGCCTCATCCTTCTCGCCCCCCTCCTCCTCGTCGGGCACCCCGCACCCTCCGTTCAAACACTTCTTTTCCCTGAGAGAAGTCGAAGGGGCAGACAGACGTCAGGCGAAACGTAAGCGCGCGCGTGTGTTAACCGCTCGCAGCGGTGTTCTGTCTATTTCCTCAGTGTCCAACTGGCTTTAATCATAACTGCACGCGGGGTGAAGACATTGGCAAGTGCAGATAAAGGGGCTTTTTATTCAACTGTTGTTTGAAACCCCAGCTGAGTATGAGGAAACGGACCAGTCGACTGTTTGTTGTGACCAACGTGTTGGGGATTGGTGTGTGCGAATGCGCGACTGTTGCCACAACTGTTCATCACACACATTAGAAAGTGTCAGATTCTCTCTTTTCTTGCTCCGTTTGTCATCCAAATTTGAAAACACGTATGTATTAAAGTATACTGTATGTTTACTGCATTTATTAATTGAATGAGAGTTCAAACCTTCTATCTAGCTGCCCCAATCCAGGCCTGGTGCCCCTCAGGCCCGGCCCTGGCATGGCCTGATCGCTGGGAGAGGCGTGGGCTTTCCCGGCCGCCAGCCGGCCGTATTTCAGCAGCACAGAGAGCAGCAGGTCCCACACAGCTCGCAGCGTGAGCTCGCCCAGCTTGTGACGCTCGTACAGGTAAGGCTGCAGCACCTCCTTCACATTTTGAAGGAACTGCCGTATGATGAGTAGAGTGGCTAGCATCTGGCGAAGAGAGAGAGAGAGAGAGAAACAATCAAGACACTAAGTGAATATACTGCGTAACTAGAGTATTTAAAGTACACACATAGGATGGAAGGATGGATGGTTAGAGAAAAAGACGGACAGAAGAAAGGGCATGAAAACCCGGTGGAGAAAACCGTGGGATAAAGGTGGAACGGATTCGACAAATCAATCAAAACACAATTCCGTATGCAGACTTAATCCACAAAAAAATCATGAAAGGCAGAAAAAGGCTTCTGGACAGTTCTCAATAAACTAGAAATGGCAGCTGTCGCTAACTGGGGAACGGCCGTATTTCTGAAAGAACCAGGAGGGAGCAGTGCAGACGCTGTTTTTTGGGCAATGATTCACTGTGGAGGTTCCCTTACCAGACATCAACATTTCAAAGGCCCGATGATGTATTCAGGCAAATTACTGAAGAACACGGTTAAGTAATTCCCACAAAATCTGAATTATTCCTAAACAATCCAAACCAAGAAGCATGTCTTCATCCATTTGACCCAGAGGATATGCAAGAATTGCAGCATTCATAGTATCATGAATATTGGCTTTAATAGAAAATGCAATGCTGCCAAGTCAAATAACACAGAGGCACAATAACCAAGGCACAGGATGAAAAGAAAAATCCACAATGACTTCCTGACGACAACAGACAGAAAGCGACTTCACGTCAATGATGGGAGACCTCAGAGAAAAGAAGACACTGTTCTCCCGCTGCGACCTACTGCAACAACCGGCACGGAGGGGGACAACAACACCAGATGGTTTTCATTTCAGAAACTTAAGGGGTGTTTACCTTAAAGGCAGCAAATGAGTTCCATTCATTTATATTTTAAATGTTTTTTTCACTCTTGTGTTGTTGCGGTTCTAAGTGGAATGATTATTAAGCAGAAAAGTAAACACGTTGCGACAAATATTTGCACAAGCCGGGCTGTACTCGTTTTCAACCAGGCATGGAAGTCAGGCGATGTTAACTCAATACGAGGAGCTCAATGAGGTGGCACTCTGACCGAGTGTTACACAAAGTGACACGCTGAGTGAGAATGAGAAGGGATGAGCGGTGAGAGTTGTAACGGAAAAACAATTCACACAAACTGCATGGAAGGAAAATGGAGTGAAAAAAAAAGAAATTCCGCATTGACACCACACCTTTGTGTCAAAAGAAAAAACACTCAACTGTTGTAACAAGTAATTTTGCCCTTTAATACACGTGAAGAGGCCCAGTGTGCTACTTCAGTCAGAAATCAATCAGAAATTGAGTTTTAAAAAGGTACAGGCTGCCTCCTGTTACCTGCAGTACTTATATTCAATCTCTAGATGAAATATATAGAGGAAATATACTTCCTCCTTGAAATCTTAAGTAACCGAGTCAAGTTATTCAAATGTTTTTTTGGTACACTTTGAGCACCGCAGGTCGGACGCCATGCCATCTTTTCTCTATATCTCCAAAACCAGGCAACTCACTCCAAAACAATCTAGTTGGACACATAACACTACAAGTAAGACTGAAAACACAGTATTTTTGTATATATTTATATACCCCGTTAATATTTCGGGGTGATCTATCCTTTTAATAAGCAAGGATTTGTCCCAATGACATTCTGAAATGATCAATTCGGTATCCAATCTTTTCACGTTGCAAGGTTTTCCCCAGACAAATACAATCAAAACACACACAATGTAATTTCAAACAAAGCAGGTTGGGAAGTTCTTGTCTTGATTGTCGCAGAGCATGCAAGGTTAAGACAGAGGTGGTCAGAAATGAACCTTTGACCTCTCGCCCAGACATTGGATGCACGGGGAGCATACTTTGGACCCGAGTAAAGCCCTGAACATCCAGGGAACAGAGACCACAAACATCTGGATCTTGAGGAAGAGGGGAGGCAGCACATTGATCCGGACCTGCCGCTGCAGACTCCTTAACAGAGACAACACCACCAGCATCTTCCACAAATGGACAAATGGATGAGATGTGCAGATGGATGGTAATGGAACTCAATGCATGTAAGCAGAGGGAGAAAAGCATGTAAAGATGGGACAACGACAGATGTTGGTGGCCAAATGAGTTATTGAAGCTAAAGTGTGACAAGGAAACATTTAAACTGGGATTGTTCTTACCTCTTTTAGACGCTCCATGTCTTTGAGGTAGAATCCAATGTAAAAAAGGCTAAGATAAGAATTTACAAACTGAAACTGTAAGAGAAAGAAAGGCCTGATGTCATTAAGAGGAAAGTTGTGTGAAAGTTAGTATTAAGTTTCTAAGCACATTGTAATTAAGAAATTATGTAGAAAAGCCACTCACAAGAACCATTTTGATGATGAGATTTTTCTCATAGGCACTCTGGAGTCTATAGTTTTCTGTGAAAAAAACATTAAATCATCCCTTACCACTCATTAAGGTAATATATATTTCTTGTAATCTTATTTATGTGGATCTTGATCAAACTGAAAGCTTGACTCTCACCCATGTCGTTGAGCCAGCAGGCGATTTTCCTGTACACCTCATCACATGCACTCACAGTGATAGCTAGCATGATTTTGGGGATGAAGCGAGCTAGCCGAGGCATTTCCTTGATCCCCATCACAAACTCCTGCAGAGACACAAACACAGCTCTTTACCGACATTCTGAAGGAGAAGGTATTTTCTCCTGCTCAAGTACTACCCATAACATGTGCAAATGTGATGTTGATCAGGCTCATGCCCCCTTAATATGAATCTGATGAAACTATATAAAGGCAGATGCAGGGTTAGAAGATTATTGCTACATTTACATATTACAACATCACAAATGCATGCTGACAGCCGACTGACCTGCAGCTCAAAGCAGATGAGCATGACCAGGAAGACAAAGCAGAGGCAGAGGATGCAGATGGGCAGGCTGACCAGCCACCTGAAAACACGCCGCCGCCACGGAGGATAGTGGAACTCCTCACAACCTGTTATGGGACTGCAGCGCTTCACTCCCTACCGAGAGAGAGAGAGAGAGAGAGAGAGAGAGAAAGTTTGAAACGGCCTGAAGGAAAAGTGAAGACAATGGGGGAGAAAGGAGTCAGGAGCCTTAGTTCCTCTGACCCGGAACTGGGGCCGTGGTTCCTCCAGGGATTCGGGTGGCGTGTCCAGTGTTCCCCACTTGAAAGCCAGCTCAGCCCCCCTCCTCTTCCACCGCTCCAGAAACAGAGTGGCCCACACCACGTTGAACAGGGCAAACACCACACAGCAGATGTCACGGCTCGTCTGAAACGAAAACAAACCCGCACAATTGGTCTAGGATTATTGAGCATTTTTCAGTGTGGGGGGGGGGGGGGGGATTTAAGTTGCTTTAAGCCTCACCTGGTCTGACTCAGTGAGCATCCACAGCACAAAGCCGATCACAGCAGGATATAACATGGAAGTGGTGTAAAACCCCAGCCAGGCAAAATACATGGCAATCTTCACACCAAAGTAGTCACAGATATCATCTGTACACAAACGGGATAAATGACAAATCAGCAGGATGATCTGGCATATCTTTATGACACATGATGATATGACATCTTTGTAGCAGTGATAGGATAGAGGGAACCCTGAGTAGCAACGGTAATCCGCAGTGCAACAATACTACTCCCTTCCGTCGTGTGGTTTTGTGTATGTTTGTGTTTTATTTCGTTACGCTGACCTAAAGGCTGTTTCTCACAGACGGCCTGGACCCAGGACTTCATCAGCTGACTGAGAATCCTCTGCTCATGGAGAGGAAATAACTGTTGGATCACCCCTCGAGCACTCAGCTCCGAGACTGCAAAAAAAAGAATAAAACACAGCATCAAGTAAGTTAGAATGTGTGCGTTTGGATGTTTATCACTTGCAGGGGACACTTTGTAAGGAAGCCTCTGTCACCAGTGAATGGATGGGTGAATGTTGGCTTATGCTATTCAGTTTTTAATGGTCATTAATGCATTTGTAATTTACAAAAGAAGAGTATATAAAAATAAAATATACCATGAAATTATGATTCTCACAGTTTTAATACCAAACCAACTGAGGGATTATTTCCAAAAGAAGTTCAATCCGTCAAAGACAAATATCAAAAAGTGTACGACTACAACTTACTAATTGGCTGGCCCTCCAGGAAGTTGATATTATGAAGCACCTCCCCATGTTTGGCCCTTAGATTGTCCAGCCAGTATTTAATGATGCTCTGCCTCTCCTGCAGCAAACACAAGGAGGCAGCAGTAAACTCAGACGATGCATTGACAGCATATTAACTTTAGCATTTGTCTTTGTCCGTTTGCTTGAGCGTTTTGACACTGACCTGTGAGGTGAAGAAACACAGCTCGCTCTCGATGTTCTCGTAGATGTAATCCTCCTCACCCGAGAAGTTTCGTGTTCCTCCCCCAAACTCGGGCTTCACCGCTTTCCTCAATCCCATCTCCTCAGCACCTCGCAACAAACTGGGGGAGAACAATGCGAGACTGATTGTGTTACAGAGCATCAGATGTCTTCTCCTAATGCGAGGTTGAGTTCTCTTAAAAAATGGTGTGTGTTATCTGACTCTCATGGATTGGTTTACTGTTGACATTCATTAATAACGAGTTTTAAAATGTATTATGTATTTCTTAAGCAAAGATTTCAACTTTTTCTCAACTACTTTTTTTCCGTTTTTCCGTTCCGTCTCTTTGTAAATGTTATTTTTTTATACTTTGCACTGTTGGTTCGCTAATACAATTTCACATTTCACTCTGTTATTGACATTTGTACCACATTAACCATTCATTAATTTGTCAAGAAAACTCTTGTTGTTAGCAGGACAACTTTCTATGGAAAGCATATAATGGCCTAATCTCTCCTCTAATGCTTTAACCTCATCCGTCTCTCTCATCAGCTCAACACCCATCCGTTCTTCCTCCATGTCTCCTCTCATCCTCCAGCAACTCCGTCTATTCTCCCCATCTCTGTCAATCCACTGTCTCTTTTGTTATATTCCAGGCTCCTCTTGTTTGTCTCCTTCTTCCACTCCTCCACCTTTGTCCCCTCACCCCCTCCTCCCCTTCTGTCCTTCCCAGCAGCTTTGTGCTGAAAATGCAGTAATAATGCAACACCACGCCCTCCGCGCCCTCGGGGCGGACAGCTCACCTCTCTCTGTCACAGGTACACAATGTATATAAAGTCTGTGCACACACATGCAGTCGTGCAGCCTAGGTGGGCCTGTAACGTCCATCCATCATGTAGCTTGGGGGCACTTTGAGGGGCAGTGCTGTGAAGTACGATCCGCACCATGATGGATTACAGCAGAAATGTGAGGTGCAAGCTTCTGTATCATTGCTGAATACTGCTTAGTGTGCAGCACCATCAAAACCAAGGTCCTTGTCTGAGAAAAAAACCCCAGGCTGTATCTATTTAAGCCAACTGTTTAGTAATCCAAGCCAATAACTGTGAGCGCTTTAAGAGCAGCGCGGCATCCACTGCTGCCGTGGATTTAGATACGATGACCCCTTTTTTATTTAAACTAAAACTTTGTTGCCTTTTAGACTTTCTCTCCCAAATAAATAGTAAATAAAAAACAATAATAAATGAGATTGGAGAGACAGTCAGAGGGAAGGTGTGGACGGCCGAGGGAAAGCACTGCACATAAGGGTTATGCTAATGCAGACACTTAATGAAAACTCAGCAGAACAGGACAGCATGCTGTAAATTGCCTAGTCAGACCTGAGAAATGAGAAATGGATGTGATGTCAGCTTTGAAAATAAGAACATATAACACCCGTGAGTATGTTGATTGCTAAAAGTTGTTTACTCACAATGAAAAATCTTGAAAGGGTTAAATACTTACTACTCGGTTATCGTTTCTATCTTATCTTTTCTATCACATGAAAAGTAGGTCAACCCATCTGACAGCAGGTGTGTTTGTGTGTGTGGAGAGAGAGAGAGAGAGAGAGAGAGAGAGAGAGAGAGAGAGAGAGAGAGAGAGAGAGAGGACACAGCAATCATCTTACTGAAACCCACCGGCACACTTTCAGAAAGCACTCTCTCCGTCCTCCTGCCGCATTAACCTCCCCGTTGTTTTCTCTCTGTCTTTCCCTCCTTGTCTTTCACTCTCAGTCTCTCTCTTTGCATCTGTTTATCTCTGGCTTTCTTTCTTCAGTCCACCCCATTCCATTCATCACACTCGAGAGGAGTCTACTGTGTCAAGAGGTGAAATGCAGTACGGAACAGCAAGTAGTACCCTGATCCCATGGTTTGCATAATCTCAGTATTTATACACCAGAGTCAATGCTGAGATTAAAATGACCCTGGGCTCACCCCCAATTCCCCTCGAGATGTTTTCAAAACAAGAGACCATGTCTGGGGAGTGTAATCAGAGCCAAGGCAATCCATACAGTTTGGCCTGACTCTAACCTTTCGCACAACTTTAAATAACCTGCAACCAGAAGAGATGCTGATGCAGTAAACCAGACAGCACGGCAGCCTTACTAAGGATTCACTGTGTACGGGCTTCTGTGCCTACTATAGTTGCTGCTAAATCTAAAAGTTAACAATAAATAATGTTATAATCCTACACTTTCAAAGACAATACAACATATTTCTGTCGTAAGCATCCCAACTCTATTAGTGACATAAAAATGACTGAAGCGCAAACCACTAGAGGAAGCAGAGATACAGAATGTACCGTATTATTCATTTAGTATTTCTGTCTTTGTTGTTAAAAGTCGCTGCTTTGATTATGTGTTATTATCTTAAATGTTATAATAGACAGTTTCCTCAATAATTACTAAAATGTGTTTGTGACAAGGCCTTACTTTTCATATGTAGCAGTGACGAAGAAAGCGTAGACTTGTGTGTGCTTGTGATGTCGTATTTGGATGATGAGCTCTGGGATTCCCAGTCGGATGTGGTTCAGTAGCCATAGCAACGTGTGGTCATCTGTAGTGTCTGTGACAGGAAATCCAAAATATAAATACATCTTCAACTTTACACACACATTGCTACAAGGGAGCTCCTGGGAGTACTCGCACAGTCTTGTGAGTATTTATTTCTGAGGGGGGGGTTAAACGTTGTACTACTAAATACTTGATAGAAAGTTAGGTGATAAAAGAGCTGGTCAACATGGCTCTTCTCTTCTTTATCAACAGCATATAACTGTATTGATCCTTAAGAAATGTTGTGTTCAAAAGCAAATGCATATATTTGTGGGGATGAATAATTAGACTTAATGGTTAGGATGTGTGTTGTATATATGACTTTGGGCTCAGGGACATGATGAACAGATATGGGTTTAGGTGTTGGTGAGGGTTGACCTTAGGCATGTTTTGATGCCTAAGGTCTAAGGTTAAGGTTGCATTTTGTCATCGAGAGTCTTTCCAGGTATAGAAATACAAACATATGAGCGTGTGCTTGACCTGCAAATGTGATGAGGACATCACAGTTCTCCGTGGGCACCGTTTTCATCCAGGACTTGTGAGACATGATGTGTCTCCCAGCCTGCAGCAGCCGCTTCCCAAACAACTTATCTACGGCAGAGAGAGACAGAGACGGAAAGAAGAACAAAGGGGGAAAGGGGGGAATAAATAGAGAGAGTGACTTTACAGAAAGTAAGGAGCAAAAACAATTCTAACATTTACTGCAAACCCTCCAAAACTCTCATTGCTGCTGCTGCTCAAACACACAGACACACACACACAGGAAGACACACACGGACGCGCACATAACCGCCCTTCTCGATGGGATAAATTTAAATGTCACGTCCGTTGGCCTCACAACATGACACTGGCGGAGCTCATCCTGCCCTGCCAAGACCAGAGGCCACACATTGTCCACACTCTCACACACACATTGTCACACACACACACACACATACACAAACACACACACACACACACACACACACACACAGCCACTCAGCTCAATGCACTCAACACATGCAAGTTAAGCTATTTCTCAGTGTGGTCATATGTTCTGAGTCTCAACAACCTCCACATACTGTATAAGCCTTGAATAGTAGAAGAACACAAGGCCTCATGTGTGGAATTACCTTACGACATTTTCAAAACTACTGTAAAGGCTATTTCCAACTACAAATGAACTTCATCTTTGACAGCTAATTCATCTCTCACTGACCCACTCTCATATTCCCACCGATATGCTCTTCAGAAGGGCAACAGGGACAAGCGATTCTGTAACCAGTTTAACCCCCGACCCGGCTCAGCTGTCAGAGGACAGTTTGTGAAAAAACATTCCTCGGGTCCTGAATAATAATGTCAGCAGCCTGGAGAGAATGCCTGTTCCTAACAGCACGGTGGGCACTGAAGCACGAAGCAACACAATAGCTGGAAAGTGGGGCACCTTCCAGGGGTCACACGCAAATATGTTAAGTATCTCATAATCCATTTAATAATGATATATATGTGTTTGAAGAAAACTATACAAAGAGACCAAAATATTAAAGCAACATGTCATCTTATTTACAAAAGTGAATGCAAAGACACTGTCACAAAAGTCAAGGTCATGAAAGGCTCTAAATTAAATCATGATGTCACCGCTACGAGCATCATGCTATAAATCCATTAATGTCTCTGCGTGCTCTATGGAACCAATAAACACCTATCACATAAAAACATCAATGTGCTGCTGTTCTGTGTGTCCTTCTGCTTGCTGGATCAGAGTCGTGTCAGACACACATACTCGGGTTTCCCAGAAAATAGCCTTATCCAGGGAGCACCGAACCAACATGCTGTACTTGCATATGCCTTTTCCATTTTTTTTGCATATTACAAGGTGTACTTCATTTAAAAGGGATCCCTGCTAGTATTGCATAGCCAATTATCACCCAACTCTGCAGTAGCCTTTGTCCCCACAGAGCTTTTGATCCGTTTTAATCAATATTTTGGTTTTCTGACCCGTAATCTCAACCTCCTTTCCAGCCGATGTCATCAGGGGGTAAAAAGCTGTGATAAAACCTCTGTGAGCTATCAGTCCATCACCAACCACAGAAAAACAGAAATAGCAACTAGTTACAAAAGTATTTATTGCTTAAGAATAATATAATTATAATAAGAGAAATGTTGCTCTGTCTGCTGGACCATAGTCAACTGTTTGCACATTTGCAAAATCCTTGATAATATTTCAGTATTGCATTCCTCCAGACTTGATGGCAATGCATATTGACTATTGTGGCTTTAACACAGAATGTATTTATTAGGCAGTATAATTCCGTAGCTGTATAATACTGTTTTAACAGTCCCAACTCCTCATCTGGAAACTCTTTTGCTTTGCTTTGTCTTCTCTTAAAGCACTTTGCGCTACACCCAAAAAAGTTTTATATCCATAAAATGAAGTAAAAACAAATGGTCAGAGATGCTCCCCGGGCAAAAATGTAAAAAGCCTGAGTTTGAAGTGTAATGTTAGTTGCTTTGGATAAACGCGTCAGCTAAATAACCTGTAATGTAATGTAATGAAAAACCCATTTTTGCAGACGATGATATTTTCTGTCAAGATAACTCAAAAACGTTAGTGTTACAAACAGACCTTAGAGTTAGAAGTAGCATTACTATTTAAAGGATCCCTCTTCAGTACTTACAAAGAGGTTGTGACAACTTGATCTGGTTCCACAATGCTCTCCCCTTCTGAAGAACAATCTCAAACATCGTGCAACGGGCCGAGCAGGAAACAGCACGAGGTATTTCTGACTATTTAATCTGGAGTGGTACTTCTAGACGCTGAAATCTGACTACTCGCTCCGCCGTGCTTTGGAGGAAATGCTGCAGGCAGTGGAGCGACATGACAGCAATTCTAATCGAGTCCTGTATTCATCGCTGAGGGCAACGCACACAGCGGACACACACACACACACACACACACTCAGAGTACAGCTAACAGATTCCACCACCTCAACAATGCTTCCGTTTACAGACGCCAATGCTAACCGTATGTTCAGATTCTTTGCATGGATTTGTGTGTTTGTATTTGGTTGAAGATAGACATAAAAATTGTGATGTGATACATTGTCGATGGGACATGCAGGTTACTGAATCTTCACAGTCCATTATCTGCAAATCCTTTTTTTTAAACTCATTTGCTTCTCATTATCCCCAATCGCCCCCTTCTACAATTGATTTAAAAAGGGTAATCAATTAGCATGACGGCTTTTACCAGGTTTGACCTCATCAGTGTTCTGGAACAGACCAGCGTCAAAAGATGTTGTGTAGAGGGAGATTTTACACTGAAAAACAATTGTGCTCAGCATTTGAGCACAATTGTAAATGTATCCTAATCTTAAAATCCTTAAAAGTTGCATGCATCTTCTAAATGTCTTCTAAAATGTCTTTTAATTCCTGCATTTTATTTCACTTTATTGTATGAAATGTTATGATGTGAAGCACTTTGAGTCTGCCTTGTGTATGAAAAGCGCTATACAAATAAACTTGCCTTGCCTAAATATTTTCATTACAGACAAGTTGGGTAACTTGGGTAACTGCCATTGTATCTGTAAATAATATAGCAGTTACATATAAAGTAATCCTAAAAGTGGTTTGGTGGCAGAATGAAATAACATGTGAAGCCCCTTTTGGCCCTTCAGCAGAGACCAGGCCATCGGTGGTGAGCAACTTGTCCCAGAAGTATCACTGATAGAGATGAAGCCGGCGTCGCTCGCCTCCTTTACAACGCGCTGCTTGTTTCGGGGTTTGCACTTATCAGGCAGCAGCCAGGCATAACGAGCAGGGAGCCTTTTATGTGATCTCAGTTGCTCCCTGAAGCATTTCTGTGGGGTGTTTATCTGTGTGTGTGTGTGCGTGCACATAGGTATGTGTCTGTGTGCATGTGTGTGAGCCTGATATAAAGTGCTTGATTAATGGAAACTCATTTGAAGGGCTTTGAAGAGGAGGTCACAGACGCAAGAAATTAACTTCATAATGCATAAACGGTCCTGCTGTTTTTGTGACTTTTCTTATAATTCTCGGGGGCTGGTAACACTTTTTTCTCCAATAACATAACACTGACGGCTTAATTTCTTACTTAGTTAAGAATGTTTTATAGAACCTCATATAAGTTTTCATTAGTTTAGGAAGAAGAGTAATGTATTTACTACAATGAAATGCTATTGGCTGTACACTGTATAATAGTCAACAGTTTCCTAAACACCGTGATATTCCCATGATTGCAAAACGTCAACATGGAAGATTTAACTCAGTCAATAGGTGTCAAGTTTTCAGGTCAATCTCCAAGCAGCTGGAACAAAATTTTGTGTCGGGTTAAAATAATATTATACATAGAAATGTTAAGCCATGACTGGCAAAGATTATTAATTAAATCAATTCAGTAGCATGTTTTACCCAATAATTACTATTCACTTTAATAAAAAAGGAGAACTATGTGGCTTTGAGTATGAGGGAATATGTATAAAGCATCAGGGGTTTGAACGATAACAAAATCAAAATGTACTAAAAAAAGCTTTAAATGAGGCCTCTCTGCAAGTGACTAAACACAACACAAAACAGACCTCGAGGCCCTTAAATAAAATGTGTGCATTTTCTGTATAAATAATCTAATTTCAAGTTAATTTCTTTTAGGTATTTTTTAAAGAAAGTTGTGGCAACACAGTGAATCTATCCTATTGTGCTTAAACAGAAAGAAAATGCGTCAGTTAAAGTGATGACCTGCAGGCTTCTTGTTTTGCTTCAGTGACCACTCATTGACACTCATCTTCTTCACATTAAATCTGCCTTTTCTAACATGCTGAGGATTTTCTTTCCCGGCACCCACACATGGTATTAGCATTAATAGGATAATAACAGGAAAATATTAGATGCGTTACTAGGTGTTCCATGCATCTAGTTCTGTATGAAATATTATATTTGAGCTCCACCCAATTATCTCATGGTGTGTATCTAGACCGGCGAAATAAAGGCCTCTTGTTTGTCTGAAGACATTTGCTGAGTCACCACCGATGGCATAAAGTGACAAGTGTAATCAACTCTACCTGATAAAAACCTTTCTCAGTAATTGAACGCATAGCATTAACAGGAAACAAAAAAAGAACACAAAAGCAATATATATATATATATATAGTAAATATAGTATATATAGTAAATATAGTATATAATATATAGTAAATGTGGAACAGAGTTTTACGTTGGTTTGGGTTGTCTTGAGAAAATAATGGTTTTACAGCAACAGGGTGTATTTCGTGGGAGGATTTCTATCTTTTCAGCAGCAAGTTTTTTGGACTGTTATCCAGTCAGAGGAACAGAGAAGCAGATAGAGACCCGCAAACAGACATAATTAAATAAATTCCAGATATACTGTGAACTCTGCAGAGACATAGAGGGAATGTAAAAATTAAAAAAAGAAGTCAGGGAAAAGTAGGCCAGAGCATCCGATCAGGTTCAATCTACCAACAATTTCCTCGATTCAAACTATTTCCTGCTCTGACTGTGTATATCGTCACACTCACATGTCACCGACAGACATCGCCCTTTTAAACCCGTTCCCAACCCCCAAAACACACATATTG